AGTCCAGTAATGTAGGATAGCTAATTTAACCATTGTATTTATTTTATGTAGGCCATTTCCTTTGTTGTAGCACTATAAACGTAATAATAACCCAACAAAGAATATATATTACACGTTAATAATTATGTAGATACATGAATAATATGAACAAGTACTCATCCAAGAGATACTGACTGTCTTCTTTTTTATATGGATTTCAATAGGTTAAAGTAAAAGTCCAGTATATAAGTCATTTCTCAACAATTCGCTTTACGCTTGAGCATGTCTAACCTGTTGTTTACCAGTTGATACATCTTGCTTTCAAATGGATTTGTACTTAATTGAATATATTGTAGCGGTAGGTAATTCCCCAAAATTAACGGATTTCGTAAGCATTTGAAAGTTTCACTGAACGCAAGTTAGTTAGAGGTGCTCGACCAAGCATCCCACATAATCACTATTAATTTCTTCACTAATTGTCTCGAAGCCATTTCCGTTAACGATACTCGCATCTTAGTTCCTTCCGACAGTACACATACTCTGAAAACCTGACTTATGTTCACTTCTAAGCCATCTTGCATATGATATAAGAATAGTCACATTTAGACATTTCATATCATATTGAGTGGTTTAAACATCTTGTATGGAGTTCCTGGGGAGAAAACCCACTGTTTTACAATGGACTAAGGTACTGCCTATTCCAATATAGCTATATAAGGCGCAGTGATCAGCATTTTATGTATAGGACTGTTTGTCTTGATGCATATCAAATTCCGCTTTATGGCATATAAAGTTTATTGGAACAAGGAATGAGCGCTAAGTAACTTAGTACTGAGTCCAGTTATGACATAATAAGTACAGGTCTCCAAAAAGGGATTTTAGAATCCACTAATGCTTTCCTGTGGATACCAGCAAGAAAATTTTCATTCATCTAAACAGCTATCCACCACAATGATGATTAACGTGTCTAAGCTACTTCACCCATTAGACCTCAAAGCCACTACATCTCCGAGTCTGATGGCTGCGAACTTCAGAAGCCTAGAAATCTTAACTTAGTTCATTTAGGCCTGGCACACTCGCATCACGTGTTGTGAAAGCCTACCTAGATCGTTGAAACAACAGCTAGACAGCCTAATAAAACACATCTAGGTATGAGTTCACGTTGATCGGTAAACTACGGTACTGAACACATAGATCATAGCCAACTAATGGGACACGTTATCCAGGAAAACATCTTACAGCAGCCAATTCGCTCGGAACTGGCCAACACACCTTAGACAACAATTTGCTTGGAATCCAGAATCCAGTTACTCTCTAAAGAGGTAACAGGTGATGACACAAACCACCAAGTGCCACCGTTGCAACGTAGGCATACCAAGGGGTAAACTAAGTGAAACCTGAAGCATGTGCTCTCAGCTTGACCTGGAGATTATAGCCCTTACTAAAACATGGTTATCTGCCCGCATCATGGATGGAGAGGTGAAGTTGCAAGGCATGACAAATCTCAAACACGAACAGGTACACGAATCAGGAAGTGGAGTGGCAACATACGTTAGCAGCCACTTAAAGCCGTAACACCATCAAGTAACGAATTAACCGAAGTGACAGAAACATGCTGGTGTTACTTTAATATAAATAGCACGAAGTAATAAGTTGGAGCAGTATGCTAGCCCCTAACATGTTTTGACACCCACAACAATGAGAGAATATTGTGCCTGGATTTGTAGCAGACGCCACCGGTAGGAGATTCCAACACTTCCACTCTTCATTTCAGGGAACAAGATGTAACCGTCACAAGGTGGTTCTGTAAGCGGCTTACCATATCCACCATAATTCCAGGGCTGGTTGAACTTGTAGATGACGCCAATAGACGGGACAGAGACGAAATATCCTCTAACTTTGATGATTCGCTGATAAATGGTTAGCTTACGGTTAGTAATATCTACGTCCACCCACCAATAGAAAGTAGAGACCATGGTGCAGCAATGTCTGGCATGATTGCCAACGAAATACTTAGGCGACGAGAATATTCCCCACCCTAACCGCATTGGGTCAGACTACACGACGATGACGATTTGTCTTCAGTACGTCTCTAATCAATCCCTGGCCATAGGAGGTGTGAAGGTTAACAGTGGATGACCACTAAGAAATAGTGAGTGGCATCATTCTCAATGCAATCCAACATAAGGTACTTTACAGCAAGCACACACCTTGAAAGCGAAAATCCTGGATTAAGTGAGGTACAGAATGTTTGCCACAGGCCAAAAGCGGAGCGTGACACACGCAGAAAGACTCCTGCTAGGACCATGAAACACCTGTTCATGTAATATCTCTCGATTTCACAAAAGCTTGTAACACAACACCTTATGTTCTTCTCATAGCGAAGATTGCTCAAATGGGTTCAAGTGACCGATTTTCATCCTGGCTCCGAAACTACCTTGAGAAAAGTATGTTTCTTACCAACATATGTAGAGTGCACGCGGGTTGGTAGGTTTCGACATCAGTATTATCAAAAGGAACAATCTTGGATCCATTTCTATTTGTCATCTTTATTAATAACCTAATAGATGAAATGAGCTCGACGGCAAAGATCTATTCAGACGACGCAAAGATCTGGAAGTTCATAAAAAGCGAAAAAGATTCACATGAGTTTCAAAAGAACTTACAACAATGGAATGGGGAGTAGACAGTGAGTTAGAAAGTATTCTGCCATACTGTCATTTCATAAGAATTCTGCTTCATTTGACACAAAGCACTCACGCTCTCTATGGACGTCCGCTACAGTTTGTCTCCTGAGAACGGAATTTCGGAATTTATGAGTAGGAAACTTGGTACGGTCACCCTGGAGCTGTTCTTAACATTATATAAGATGTACACACGGCCCTAGCCTGAAGATCACCGTGTTGTTGAGTCGTTTCTCTTTTAAGAAGACGTAAATCTCTCAGACCAAATTCAGAGGTAAGCAACCAAGTTAGTGATACGTCTAAAACATAAATATTACAAGGAAAGACTTCAACACCTGGAATTATTGTCGTTGAGCCACTAGAGAATAAGAAGTGATCTGTTAGTAACATACAACATATTAAGTACCCCAAGCCACCCTAACACGAGCGATATGTCAAAATATCATCGTCGCGCTCTTCGAGGCAACCGTCGACAGAGCGAGCACCCAGGTACTCTGTCATATTTCCTCATTAAGAGTTGCATCTATTTAAAATGCATTCCCAGCCAAAAAGGTCGTAACCCCATAGTGAATAGATCTAAGATAAGACTTGACAAACAAGTGCTCCGCTATGGATTATCATCTCTATTCTGGACCAGCTATATCTGATGCATGTTTCGCAAATTACAACCGTTATTACTGCTGCATATCATTAACCACTTCCCATGTCCCTTAGTATTATCCTCGTTTCAATTATTATTCTTTCAATTCCGTCCTCTTACACATTGACAAATAATTAACTTATTTATCATTCTTGAAGCAATTCACCTCTCTCAGATTTGGAATTATCATTTAATTGTTTTAAAATTTTAGTTAACCAACCTTCTGCCTGGCAGCTCAATTACTTCTGGTATCCGAAATCCCCACTTCTCTGAGACAAATGTATTCACCCAAACTACAAACGGTTGCAACTAAACTGAACTCGATTTCGTAATTGTGTCAGTCAAACTATTGACTAATCAGAATAAAGATGAAACCATTATATCCGCTATCTTTGGAATCAGTAGTGGTCGGTTTTGCTCGTCCTGTGTTTTTTCCTCTGCTTTTTGTGTAGGTGCATAGTTCAATGTTTTGGTGTGCTGAAATTCTTCAGTTAATGTAATACTCTAAGTGTTGGTGCAAATTTACATTTAATCGGCTTTGTTTTCTCGGTTCTTGCTGCTGCTACTCACATTAATGTATTACTTCAAGTAAGCCCGTTTGTTTTATCTTATAAAATGTTAGTCCATTTTGTTTTCAGTATTATTTTGTAAATATTGAAAGTCATAGTTGGTTCTTTCAGGTGAAATAGGTATTGCTACCGCCAGGGTAAAGGTGTAGTTTGCATATCATAGGGCACTTGATTACGCAACTATGAAACTAGACGCAGGGACACCTGCGTCCATCCAGCAATCGCCATGACATGTTATGGTGGCTGGAATAGGTTGTAGGAAGGTCCGAGTCTGTAGACTCCCCAAGAAAATGACGGAGATGTGTGCTATATCACTCAATTTATTACATATGAACTAGGTGCTGAGAGGCTTGTGTTTCACACATTTCCTACGACAGTTAACCTGATAAAACAAAATATCATCAGATTTACAAATTTGTTCAAGAAGTTTCATTACCAATGGAATATCATGCAAACATTTACACCGGGTTTCCATTTCAATCTCTCATTCTTAATCAAAAGCTGTAGTCTTTGTTATTTTTTTAAACTAAAGGGTAGAACAAGTAACTCATAAATATTGGAAAGGGTTGTGAAACTAAGGTGGACGTCCAGCATGCTTTTAGCTGCTGTTAGTTAAATATTCTCTTAAAAGTTTCATTGGGCCATAGATCTAACGATAATGCAGTCTGTGAGATCTGTGAGGGTTCATTCGCCTTGCATTCTAAATGAACAATAATAGTGATGGCTTTATTCATGAAAAGATAGTTTACAGTACAACAGACGTTTCTCCAGTAACATTATTCATGGACGGTCCACTTGAAAAAAAAACGATGATGTGATTACACTTACTATGAATTGGGCTATCATTCTAACATACAATGCATGTCCAGCGTAACGCAGTTAAACAAGGCAAACAAATACAACCGGAGAAAATCTCGCGGCAAAAATTACATTTTGAGCAGAAAATACATCATAATATGACAACTTGAACGACTACATGAACGTAAATATGACTATTATTCAGCTTGCGATACATAGGTTGACGTGACAACGTATAGTTTAAAACAATCATCACAATGTATACAAATTAGCAAACTAACCAGAATACCGCTAATTAGACATTAAGAAATACTCAGAACCATACAGAAGCAAGAAGAAGCGTTCAGAAGGAAAACTTTTGGTTTGCTCAAGCTCGTGAGAAAATTATTGGGCGTAGATTGGTGACGCTAAAGTTACCGTGGGTGTTTTAAAATGATACTGAGATATCGCTTTTTCGGTGTTTTTTGCAATCACGGTAGAAAGCTAAGTCATTACACGCCCTCTGGATATTCACAAGTTATATCAACTGCTGAAGTCAAGAAGTTTTGTATTCAGTGCTTAGAAAAAGTTGGAGCACAATCAAAACATGCAAAAGCACTCAGCGATGTCCTAGTTGCTGGCGATTATCGTGGTCATTATAGTCATGGGCTGAATAGACTAGGTAAAGATCCGAATTGCACAAATTCATGATTTATTTAAGAAATGTACGTACAGGATATTCAGAAAGGTGTATGCTCAATAGATTTAGAACCCATAATTGTGAAAGAAACAGTGTCCACTGCACTTGTAGACGGAAAAAATGTTTTAGGTCCAGTTGTAGGAAATTTTGCGATGGAGACAGCAATCGAAAAGGCCGATAAAACGGGGATCGCTTTCGTTGCGGCATTCGGTAAAATTCGATTATATAAGATAAGTTGCATTCAGGTTCTAATCATTTTGGTATTGCTGGATGGTACAGTCTCATGGCTCTACAACAAGGGCTCATCGTAATTTCACCTCTTCATAATTTCTAGATTCCAGGGTCTTGCGTTTACGAACACTTCTCCCTTGGTATTTCCTACACGAGCACGAAAGGTAAGTTGTAAACCTATGTACATAATTAATCATGTTTTAATTAATGTCTTTATACTTTGAATAAAAATCAGCACAATTATTGAAACTTTTGTTTTGTCGGCACCCTGACTATATTTCATTATTTTAACAGAGTATCCATACATATAAGCGAATTCTGTAAACTTGGACTATGGACATATATTTTCATTGTCTTTAAACTGTAAAATACTTCAGGTGGAAAAGTTGCTGCATGAAACATAAAAACCCGAAGTTCATAAATCTTAGATATCAGTGTTCCACTTAGTCAGTGACTGGAAGCATTAAACTAAACTAACTGAACTCATGGGACTTGGTTTATCGGTGTCAAAGTACAAAATTAGAAAGTCACTCACGAAAGTGAAATCCTGACTTCAGTAAGGCCTTATAAGATGCCCTCTGATATTTCTAACAAAAAGAAATACCAATTTTTACATAAATTAGACACCAAATATTTGTTAGAAATTCGATAGATGATTGCTAACAAAAGATTTGGTTTGTCCCAATCAATAATTCCTTTTCATGTTGGTCCGGGTCCGGTTCTAATTCTAAACAAAATATTTGATTGTCCTCAGGAGGTTTTCCCACATGATTACTGGTCCATACGTAATTACTTGAGTACGATTCGGAAAGTGATGGTAGGTAATACCTAACATCTCAAAGGACTTATCATATACAATTTGTTTTTAATAGTTAAAGTTAATCTTGCCTTAAAAATAGAATCCGTGAATAACGGTTTGTAAACTGTGTAGACAATTTGAAAAACAAATGACATCATTTGTTCTACAGTCCAAACCTTTTTTTATTATTGATGGGTATTTTATCACCACTGATCTTTGTTAGCTACACGTACATTTTGTTGGCGTCTGATATAATAAATATTATTCAGTGATATTAGGTGTGACTGGATAAGATATCCGGTTATACAGTGGATGGTGAGCATTTGATGATACACATTCTAAAGTTGTTTTTCAGTCTCTACTGTCTAAATAGCTATTTATTAACAAGTACAGAGGTGATTAGTGTTATAGAACACAACAATGACTATCTCACATTTAACTACCTCATGTGTTTGGTTGAACAAACAAAATTCTTTCAAGACGTTTTCCGTGTGTTTAATTCGTTGAATCAGCGGTAACTTTTATTTTATTTTATTAGATGAATAGAGACTTTTAGCCTTTCATAAAATCCAGTCCAAACCAATTGCTTTTCCAGGATGTAAATAAAATAATTGTTTGGTAAATACCTAATCACGTAACTCTATATGGGTTTCTAGAAATGGCACATCTATAAGTGGAACCATTCGCTTTAGTTATGGTCTTAAAACCAATTCTGTTAACTAAATATTCATGACATTTAAAGCTGGATGAATAGAATTAACATTTATTTATTCTTCTTAAACAGATTGCATAATAGGGCGGTAAATCCTTGATCATGAGCTATTTTATCAAAAGCATAAATAACGATACCATCTTGATAATATTCACTAAACGTTATCCATCATGGTATAAATCCCTTTTTGAAAATATCTCAAGAAAAATTTAAACTAAACGGAAAACATCTATATTGAAATAAGCCAGAAAAGAGCATTAATCATCTTCAGAATCTATGAACACGGATTTAAGGAAATCTGCAAATAATGATCTCTTATTTAGACTTTGGGGAGCACTCTAAAACCATGAAGTCGATTAAGGGTACCTCTAACTTAAACTGTCGTATATTCTTGTCGCAACAATCCAGCGTATTTCATAAAGCATTTTTAACCAGATCTTAAAAAAGTGACAATCGTTATTTCACATTCAAGACTAAACCGGTTCAAGTATCATTTTGTTACACAAATTATTTGCTGTTTTGTGCACTTTTCCATAATTGTCTTCCATAAATTGCATTCGCGGTTATAAATAATTATAGGCTGGGTATTAAACAATATCTTACTAAGTGCGCCGAATAATTATAAAGCTTGAAACTAAAGTATAAGTGTTGATCTGATGTATATAATACTTTTATGTTGCTTTCTGTATCAGCAAGTCATTGCACTGTTAGTGGTATAAAGAATGAGCAAGAAGACATTTTTTTGTTGCTTTGTGTGAGTTTTTTTATTTAATTTATTATTGAAAATGATAGGAGAAAACTGCATGTCAGGATCTAATTTCCTTTTGTTAGTGCCTAACTGCTTTTATCCGGTATTAATAAATTTTAAAACTTTTAGTGATCCTCCGATGATTTGAATTTGTTTGTATACTCATCACTGATCCTTGCAAATGACGTGATCTTCTAGGACAGATAATACCAGCTTAACTTATTTTTACTGTGTATAGGGACTAACAGTGACTGATACTCGCTTTCCATATTTTTGTAGTTGCTGATATATTTAAACGCAAAATCCATCAAATAATCAAAAAGAATGTAGGCATATTTTTCACCATAAGGGACTAATAAATAAAATATACTTGTGTTGTAAACTTATATTGATAATCTTAAATAGGAATTCGATTGAGAAATGGAATTATTCATTATTCATTTTGAATTTAGTTGAGTAGATAGATGTTCCTTCTCGACTATTTAGAGACCAATACTTTCGTAGTTAGTTCTTATCATCAAAAGCCTAGGTAATAATTGTATGAAAATAAATAATTCTCATTACTTAGTGAAGAATGTATTAGCTAAGTAATAATCATTCCACTACAAAATTATTGTGAATTTATGGCCCTCTGGTCGTGACGTAATCTATTCACCAGTCAAAATATGACTTATTCGCTCATATACAGTACTGAACCAATGACGTCCGATCGTTCTGGTCAGCCTAGCGTCCTATTGGTCCGTTGCTCGTCAAACCCGTCCAGCTGAGTCCTGAATGTCAATAACGGCCTCCACTGTGCAAATCATTTATTTCAAACATACTGGGTTTATATACCAACCAAACAGACCGCAACGCACCACAAAATAGAAAATAACATTCACATACAAATAAGCCAAAAAGTGGCTGTGAACGTGGGAGACAGTAATTAATAAACTGAGTAAAACTTATGAACAGTGAATCGTACAATAATAATCTATAGGTCAAAACAAAGCTTATAATAAGGGGAATATAGATATACATAATCCAATTACTGAATAGTTATACCATAAGAATATATAGATAATATTAGTCCATTAACGGGTCTCAGAAGTTACTCGTACTTTAATCTTTGCTAAGATATAACAAAAATACTCCGTAAAAATGCTTTGACGTATAAAGATGATGAGCTCTAAAATAAAAATCAAATATAATCTTAACTTATCGTTAATCTGCTTTTATAAACTGATAAAACTCACGATTAGACAAGCAAACTAGTGAGAATCTGTACTGAACGATATATATATATATATATATATATATATATATATATATATATATATATATGCAAGAGATTGCAGACGGTTCACAACTTTCGATTCATGAATCATTTGGTGATCTGTTAATACACACCAATTTAGGTAGTTTTGGGGAAATATTTTTATTGTTTGAAGGTGATTTTCATCATAAACTGATATGAATGGGAGAAAATTTTGAAAACAAGGACGGTTTTTTCATTATATCGGGTCTACAAATTAGGATCTTTAGATCATTTACTAAGAACAGTATTATTTGCATATTTGCGTTGGAGTTCAGTGGTCAATATTCTTGACTTGCAATTTGAAGGTCTTAAGTCGAACCTGATGTAATGTTATGGATTCACAAAGTAAGACAAAACTGATGTCCCTAGTTTTCTAAAATTCACAATACTGATATTAGTTTGCAAAGGAAATTATCTTGAAAAAAAATATTTATTCCTCAAATAGCTACAATTCAAAAACTTTCTTATTTTGAAATACACCTTATTTGGAAACATTTCTCATATATTGATTTTTGTATTGTTTAATCAGGATATAACCAGCAACTGAATTAGTGCTGGAACGTAAACATTAATCATCTCAGTTAATGGAGGAAAAAATAGTGAATTACATTCTTCTACTAAATTTATGACTTGTATTTGTAAACTATACAATCCAGTTGTGTACAATAATTTAGTTGTATGAATCATTGTTTTATGTATGCAAATAGTTGTCCATGTTACTAAGAGAAAATAATAGTTAAAAAGGTAGATAATTTAACATACAACACTCGATCAGTACTTATTTTGTTTTAAAGACACAGTAATTGTATAGCATATTTTGTAAAAGGCAAATGATGCACACTACTCAGCTTTCTAGCGGATATATGTATATGAACAATTTTGTCGTAATTTTATAATCATTGCATGACTAATACTAAGTTGTTTGACCATCACATAACAAGTGTACTGTTTGAAGAAGTACTGTTTTAACTGGTAACTTTGATGATACAACCAAAATATAAACAAAAATACATATTCTATACATTTTTGTCAAGTGTCTTATCATATAGGTAAAGAAGGATTTGAACAAGTATTCTTAAGGGCTTTTATGATTGTACAACATTTTGAATATTATAATCAAATTTATGACTATTTAACTAGTTATTTTTATAGTTAGATTAACGTACACCCTGAATGACCTTAATTCTATAGCCAAATACTATGAATTCGCAACCGAAAAATGTCTGTTGAAATGTTTTACTCAAAATATAACGAAAACTTGTGTCTATTTATTCATTGACTTGTAGATTAATGCTGATCATACCACAATAACAAATGTCTACACTACTCTATTTAATAAATGCGTAAACTAAAGATAGAAAAATATATTCTACGAATTTTGAAAGAAATCAATAGTATCTCCTACAAACTACTACAGATTCGCAGTAATCCACTCTCATATATTTGATCTCATTGTTTAAAAAACCCTTGGAAGTCCTCATAACTCCTCATGATATCATTTCTAAAATTATTCATTTAGTTCCAATATCTTTTCCAAACTACCGAATAAAAACGTATTATAGATGATTAAGTTTAGTTCATAAGAAAATTCATTCAAACTGCTAGTTAAATTACAGATAAGGTAACTTTGGTAAAAACATTGTGAAGATCCTATTCCTTTATCAGGTACCTGTAACCCATCAGTTTTAATGTGAAGCATCTCAGGATGATTTGAAAATTGTTCTTCTTATAGATTTAGTACTGAATTTCTCATCTTAAACTGTGATATAACTTTTTCTCCTAAAAGTCAATCTAGAAGCTTTAAATTCACTAACTGTTTATAGGTTTTCTCAAAAATGGGTTTTTAAAAATTTTCTCTAACTTACTCCTTATCATTGTTTTTTCTCTACTATTTATTTACCTATTAATGTTTCTTCTATTTAAACAACAAACAGTTAGCTGTTGGAACAAATCCAATCACGTTGGCAGCACCTGGTAAAGTTCCTGAGGATCATTTTGTTTTAGATATGGCTACAAGTGCAGTAGCATTGGGTAAAGTGAGTTTTCTTTATTTACTCTGTCCTTTTATCTGAAAAATACCACAAATCTTTTAAAATATTAATGTTGAAGATCTTCCCACAAATACTGATAAAAACGGACGCTAAATGATGTTAATTTACAGTGATAAATTTGAATGATTCACTTAGTTTTATAATTATGATTATCATTCCTAAATATCTAGATAAATTTTAAAAAAAGTAGAGTAAAAGAGTGATCGTCTTCAGGGTACATGATATATCACATATTACATAGTCGACTTTATAAAAACCTATTAACTAATTATTCCTTGAAGATAATATGATGATTCAATAAATGGTTATTTTTCTTCTTAAATAATCATTATCAGATTTGCGACATCTTTTTTGACAATGGTGACGCTCAATGATTACTAATCTTGGAGTAGTTTGGAAGAAAGTTAAGAGCAATCAAACCAAGATTTAGCATCAGTCCATGGAGATATTAACTACTGGACTGAGAAATTTAGAAAGGTTTAGACTAATTGACTGGGGTCTGTACGGTGTTTTTTCTAGCCAATTGTAGGAGATGTCTGATGACATGACTAACAATCGGTCACAATAAAGTAGATGGGTCCATTATCTGTTTCCCCTTAGATCTTGAGTTTTAAAATGACCTTATATATATTTTATTCTGAGAATTCATTCTTTATCATGAAATCACCTGGTTTATGTTTAGTCTTTTCTACTACTACTCTGAGATTTGTCTTAGTAATTTCATTTTGCTATTCTCATATAGTCTGAGAATTTGAACTTATGTCCCAGTTTCTTCACCTTTTATGACTAAATGATTATTAATAATATCCATAACTGTTTAATTAATACATCTAGTAGATAAAATTTAATGGAACTTATTAAATTAGTGCTATTTCAACGACAATTAAATGTAAAGTGACGCAATCATCATAGTTAATTATATTTTGAAACCAAGTAACCACTTCATATTATCAAATTTATGTTGGAAAATACTTAATGAACTATAAATAAATCAATTTTCCAAAGCGACTATTGTCTTATGAGTAATTGAGTTATAGGGTAACTAACTACCACATAAACAAACGGATATTGTAATATTTTTTATATGTTCTATACATTAATTAATTGATATTACTGTATAGTAAGGATTTCTATTCACTGTTGTTCAAACATTTTTAAAGATTGAAATGAGTCGAAGAAGAGGTATTGAAATACCCAAAGGATGGGGTGCTGATACTGATGGAAAAGTGAGTAAAGTGATTCTATGTTTCGTGTTTGTCTTCAATAATTTAACACAATATTTTGTCATTAAAGCGTTCGTCTCGTTCAATCTCTATTTTTTTTATTGAAATATGCTTCTACCTTGAGCAACTGAAGAGAAGCATAGGAATACAATGACTTTATATCATATTCTTCTACAATTGTTATTAACATTACTTTATTCAACATTTTGTATTTTAGTTAAGGTTAATACTGTAATGTGTAAATGGTATTTCGGTGATTTAATTACTACGCATGCGACTGCGTTTTATCATTTTTTATGGAATGAATTGATATGAAATGAGAAAACCTCATCAAAAGAAGATAGCTAGGTATATATCACTCAAATATACAACATTAAACTAAGTAATCGTTGAATAAAGTCTAAATCAAGGTTTGATTGCGTAATTTCCAAGATAAATCATAGAAAATGTAGCGATTAACTAAACTACTACATTCTAGCTATTCTAGGTTAACTTTTTTGTAGAGGTGAACTAGTCAGAATAGAAATACTGTACATTTCATTCTGTTGTATAAAACCCAAAAAGTAATTACAATTAATAATCATAGGTTTGTAGAGGATAACAATTTAGAACGTTATACTTGTTATAACTTTTGCCCTGTTAATGTATAACGTAACGATATTGCTAATTGGAGAACAGCGAATTATTGATCGGACCAATCACGCATAAAACAAGTACGAGTAGTCTAGAGTACTTATCGGTCCTGTTTACCACCTAGCCCAGCCAGTTAAGTCCAAAATACCAATCTCAACCTCTGTGATATGAATCATTTATTCCAAACATACTGGGTTTATACACAAAACCAAACAGACCACTTCGTACCACAAAATAGGAAACAATATTTGTACAAGATTTAGCCAAATGTGGCTGTGAATGTGGGTGATAGTAACTGATAGACTGGATATAATTCAAAAATGGTAAATCGTATAATAATAGTTCATAGGTCAAAATAAAGCTTACAATAAGAGGAACATAAATATGTATAGTTTAGTTATTTAACAATTATACGATAAAAGTATGCGTATAGTATTGGTCTATAAATGGATCCCAAAAGTTACCATTCATTATGCTTATCGGGGCATAACATTTCTTTTGAAGTCAATAGGAAATGTCCTCTGTTCCACACTGAAAATATCATGAGAATTATATGAACAGCTTACTTTTTTGACACAGATTCTATTCAAAACATAATAAAATCTTGATTATTTTTCTTTTGATTAAGGTAAATCTCCAGCTAAATAGTGTTGTTATTATTATTGCATAGAATAGTACGTGTTAGTTTTGTATAATACTTAACTGACCTATATACTTGGTAATAAAAATCCGAATCAGATGACGTATTGTAAGAACATAAAAATTACTGATAAATATTTATTTGACCCCCAAAATAAATCGGAATGGTATATAAGTACATTCATTTACGTATTAATTTTATTCACACTTAACTAGTGATATAATGGATGGTTTACAATATTTTTTTCTATCTCACACGTATATTACGATAATACGTGAATATAACTAATCACGTTATATCAGAATCAGGATACGCGACCCAAACTAAAGAACCAAATTGACACTAAAGAATACTTTATTCAATACAATTACAAACAGTGACACATAATGAGTCCAGAGTAGAAACAATAACATTAAAGGAAATCACATATTTAATGATCCATAGGCTGTAGCTATTTGTCCATGCTCAACATCAATTAGACAACAATTACCACACAAATGATTGTTATACTTATTTCATGAGAAGAAGATTATTTTGAATAAACATCACACTGGAAACAAAACAAATATGGCACCAGCTAGTCATTATATTGAATTAAAAACGACGGCAATTCCGAACATAAATACACAATATGTTGGGAATATAAATTCGACTTCTTATCCTATCATATCAGTAGACTCTATTGTGCCTTATGAATACTTGAAAAGATCAGAATGTACATTATTATAAAATGATAACATCATTTTATCTTCACATTAACACTGTGAAAACTATGAGAAATCGTTAATAAAAATATAAATAACCAGATAACTAATCCAAACATAAATTTAATCATTTGAATGAACAAGATTTTGTAATAGAAAGAATATATGCAACTAAATAGAAACCCTGAATAGAATTAGTAAATCTTGTCAAAGAATAGATTCTTACTTTTAATAGTTTATTTGTTCATTCATTAATAATAAGACATTAAAATGTAAAGGTATTTTCTAGAAGTTTCATAAAGCTTCATTTTATACCGCTCACTTTTATCAATAATAATAAAATTCAATGTTATTTTATTTCATCGTACTAACCACAGTATTTTATTTTTATTTTTGTACATTCCTTCTTTTGTTTGAAATTTTTTTTAGACATCAGTTGATCCAAATTTAGTTGTTACAAAAGGTGGATTAATGCCACTTGGTGGCGAAGAAGAAAATAGTATGTTAACTAATAATTGTTTATTTATATTTAACCTGAAATTTCTTTTTTTCTACCGAAATTGTATTAGTCTTATAAACATGAACACTGAATTATAAAAATAATTGTATCTAGAATAAAATAGAAGAAGCTAGAACCGGACGACCGTTTCGTCTTATTATGGGACTCCTCAGTAGTGCGCGTCCACGACCTCACCCACCGCGAGATTCGAACCCACGACCTACTGGTTTCGCGCACCAGCACTTACCCACTAGACCACTGAGTCGGCCGGTATCTAACGATGTTAATGTCTAACTTCAACTAATCCACGAAATTGAGCGACACATCCACCATTGTCTTCAGTCGCTCAAAACTGAACGACGAAACGGTTGTCCAGTGCTTCCAGATTTTCCATGGTGGTCTAGCTTCAAATGACTCATGATCTTAACCATTGAGATTACTATAATATCCACAAAACCCATCTGATATTAAAATAGAAGAGTTGTGATTAGCAATAGGATCCAGGATATACGTTTCGTTTTATTTTGAACTTATCTGGATGTATCTGAATCCCAATGTAGCTATCTGAACTCATTCATTCGATAAGTATAGTTAGAATTATATTCGATATAACTTATATCATAATTACTATTTCATAACAATATACATAGGATGTGCATATTCTAACAAAGACCGTTCGATTTCAGTGAATAATATTAACAAAGGTTTAACTCAAAACCTCCCACTCAGTTATGTAAATTACATCTTAATTAATCAATTGAGAAACCGACACAAGTATCTCTATCATCATAATTAATCTGTTTGATAGATCAAATGACATCTTGAGGATTTACAGAGATGACCTTTAATAATTAATTAAATTTGTGGTCACTGTTTGTTTTAAGTGTGAACTGTCAATCAATAAGAGTTTGACTATTCAATTAAACGTAACTATTAGTCATATTTCATATTTTGAAATGACCAACGATACTATTTGTCATATGTACGTGGAATCGTTCCTAATTGATACGTTAGTCTTGGAACAAGGAAGTAGTTCACATTATATAGACCACCTTTATAATTCGGATATATGGATGATATATTCACCATGACTGTCCCTTATACCGTTTGGTATCACTTGTGAAGTTCAGAAAAATTCTATCTCTCTTTTCCTAATGTATTACTATCGATAAGGATTAATGGTAGTGTAAGTCGCGATTTTTCATTCAAATAGTCATGGCCTAGCCAATATTGTCATTTTCGTTCTATTATTCCATTTCATTAATGAGGAAATCTCCTCTGCTATCATTTATCATTTCAACCTAAAAATATTCTCAAGAATGATTCTCTTGAAAAGAAAATGTGGATAGTACTAAATTAGTAATAGTATACTTCTTTCTGTGTTTTGTCATCTGTGTTTTCAGTCTGATTAGCTAAAGCGGCCGTTAAATTCCCCGGAAAGTTAGTGTTGTTTTATTTAGTGGTCATAATATAAATTAGAAATAAGTTTATCATCATTGGGGATTTCAGTTATCTGTGCATTATTATTGGAAATAAATGTTGAGAGAATTTTCGACCAAACTTATGTATAAAGAAATTAACTATTTGATCATTTTGCCTGACATGACCTTCACTTGCCACTAGGTAACAATAACAATCATTCTGTAACCTAGTCACACTGGATAAATGTGAATATTATCATCCTATCAATTGTCAAAATACTTTTATCCAGTTATTATTTGTTAAATAAGAACTTACGTCTAAATTTGAACAAATAGTTTCACAATATTTGGGCGCCGAGTTAATGTAAGACATTAAAGAAGAAGAATGTATTTGTTAGTTTTGACTTCAGTATTTTGTATATTATTATATTTTATTAGCGATTCACCTATTTTCTCATCTATCTGAAATTACTGTTTATATATTTTTGTTTATTGATTTGTTTGAACACATAAACATTGGTACAAGGGGTCACCAAATGCATATGCACCACACAATAACATTGAAGTTGTGAAGGGATAAAGAATGTAAAGAGTGTGTAATAAAAGAAAAACGACGAACAAAAATTAGTATATGAAAGTGAAATAATAATATAATGGAAGAGGAATTTCAGTTAACAAAAGTACATCCCGAAAGTATTCTTTTAGTTAAAGAGGTTATGTTCATTTTTTATTGAAGAAAGGATCGCCACAGTTTCTATTCTGATATATGTCTGATAACGTCTCTAGCCACTGTGTTGCACCATCTCTAGAACGTAAACCGTGCAGTCGTGAAGGTCCAACAATAACCAGCCCTGTACAACTTTCTTTCATGCCACGACACAATGTCATGCACTGACTACCTCTCCGCTTTTTCCAACCGGTCCCAGCATCGACAAATAACACACGATGTGGAATTCGCTGAGACCACATTCGTAGGACTTGTCCAAGACACTAAAGTCAATGTTTCAAGCTGGTGACACTAGTAAAATTATCGTCGCTGTGCCCGAACACATGGTGCCGAACCTATGCATTACTAACATTTATTTGAACACAAAAATATTGGTACAAGAAGGCACCAAATACATATATGCCACACTAGTCACTTGATTTGTGTGTGAGCTGTGATACTGCCAGGGTACCCAGACCGAAGCAGGTGGTTTTCTTCAACCTAAAGGTCTGATCCACAAGGTAGTGGAGTAACGTTAGGAGATGCATTCCGATGATAGTTGGTGACCAATAACTGATTCATACACCATTTGTTTCCTTAGAATCCTGGAACCCATGTGTACCATTGGTTTAGAATCAGGGTTTGCAAACCCTTCTAGGTAGATGCTCCGTGTCCAATAACTTAGTTAAGACTCTAGGCATTCTGTTTTCGTCCTCTCAATTTCGTAAACAACACTATTGCCACGAGAAAGCAGTGAGCAGGACTTCCCTGACAGTGACTGTATACGCGTGACCATGTGAGAGCATTTGGAGAGAGAGAACTGACTCTCTCCACCCTCAACCGTACCAGGGTATTTGAAGGCCTGTTCATATACGCTATAAATATGCACATGATTTTTAAGATTGCATTATTGTGTATGATATATTATTATTACCATTATGACATGATTCATAAATAGATATTCTCATTCTATTATTCATTAAATTTTCTAATTATAATGTTAAAATTTCACCAGTTGAAATCGTGATTCAATTGAAGCTAGACCACCATGGAAAACCTGGAATCACTGGACGGCCGTCTCGTCCTAGTATGTGACTCCTAAGCGTGGGCGGGATCGTGGATGCGCACTGCTGAGGAGTCCCATACTAGGACTAAATGACCGTCCAGTTTGTGTATTTTTGGTCCGCCGTAGAATCGAAGGAGTACTGGTCCATTGGATTTCATTGTCCATTGGTCTTGTTTTTTTATTTCTCCGGCTTTGACTAGCTTGTTTAAAGTCTTTGAGATTCTGTTGTCCAATTTCTTGACAGGATTTATATCTATCAGTTTGTATGTGTTCTTATCTTCAAGTAGTTGTTCGGCCGTTCAGTGCTTCCAGGTTTTCTATGGTGGTCTAGCTTCAGTTGAATCATGGTTTCAACTAGTGAAATTTCTAAAATCCCCACAAAACCCTTTTTGATAATTTTAAAATTGTTAAAAAGAATTACCAAAAAATAACCAAAGTTGTTTACATTATAACAATAGATTTTACATAAGAACACTGTATTATCATTAATTATATATAAAGTTCCAATTAAATGTCTATAATAGATAAAACATTAAATCCTACACTTTTCATATATTTAATGTAAGAAATATATCAGTCAACCCGTTTGTTCGATGTATAGAATTTCCATCTAGTGATCAAAATTAATATTACAATTTGTAACTGATCAGATTGTGTTATGGCTTTACTTCCGTTACCTTAACTTACCTACTTACTTACTTACGACTGTTACTCTCAATGGAGCATAAGCCGCTGACGAGCATTCTCCAACCCACTCTGTCCTGGGCCTTCCTTTCCGGTTCTATCCGATTTTTGTTCATTTTCCTCATGTCTGTCCCCATTTCTCGGCGTAACGTGTTCTTTGGTTTTCCTCTTTTCCTTTGGCCTTGAGCATTCCATGCGTGAACTTGCCTTGTGACGCAGTTGGGTGCTTTTTTTATCTAAACTGAGAATGGTTAACTTTTTATGGCCCAATAAGAGTACAGTATAAACATCCGTTAACCTCTAGTGCCAATACATATAATTTTGTCAGAAGGGGTTTTGTGGAAATTGTGGTAATTTCAATGATTAAGATCGTGAGTCAGTTGAAGCTAGATGACCATGGAAAACCTGGAAGCACTGGACGGCCATTTCGTCCTATTATGGGACTCCTCAGTAGTGCGCATCCACGACCTCGTCCATTGCGAGATTCGAACCCAGGACTTACTGGTTTTGCTCACTAGTGACTGGCTTCAAGAGGTATATCTTGGAGTTCTAGTGAGAAGTAGTGACCAGTGGAATTCAACCAGGTCTGTTGTGGGATATTAACTCACTGAAGACTATGGTGGATTAGTTGAAGTTAGGCATTAACATCGTTAGATACCGGCCGACTCAGTGGTCTAGTGGTTAAGTGCTGGTGCGCGAAACCAGTAGGTCGTGGGTTCGAATCTCGCAGTGGGTGAGGTCGTGGACGCGCACTACTGAGGAGTCCCACAACAGGACGAAATGGTCGTCCAGTGCTTCCAGATTTTCTATGGTGGTCTAGCTTCAACTGGCTCATGATCTTAATCATTGACATATAGTTTTAGCAGGTCATAAGATTAATCTTAACACGGCTTTTGTGGTGTTGTACAGAAGTGCAAAAGGGTTTATTGAAGCCTTAACCATACAAAAATTCAAACCCCCTTCTATGTATTCGTTTAAAGCAGTTTGTTCTCACCTTAAACCTACCCTGGTAATGTATTAGCTGATTACCCAGAGTCATAAAGTTTCAAACTGTTTTCATATTATTATCCTTGTTTCCTCTTAACACCCCTCATTTCTAGTCTAGTTAACCTTTTATTTTTATATAAAAATGTTTTAACAAGTACATTATGTGTGTGATCAGATTGCTCGAAATGTATTTCGCTAATATATCATCACATATAAGCAAAGATGAATAGTGGCTAGCAGTGGAATTCAGGACACGCGTTTCGTCCTATTTGGGACTCGTCAGCTGGATGCACCTGCATTTCAGAGTTGGTGTTCACTCCGAGACTCAAACCCAGGTTCGTTCACTTCAAACGACATTGCGTTATCCACTTAGCTACTGAGTCCTGATAGCCACTTGCTTGTGCAATGGGGTGAAATTTAATTCACTTGATATTGTTTTATTTGAATCTTCCGATTGATGTTTAGGATTGAAATTGATCAGTCTGTTATTGGCGTATGTGTCCAAGAGTGAATATCAACTCTGAGATGGAGGTACATCCAACTGACGAGCCCCAAATAGGACGAAACGCGCGTCCTTGATTCCACTGCTAGCCACTATCCATCTTTGTTTATATTACTTGTAAATTAAGGCAATAGTGACTAACAGTGGAATCCAGGACGCGTGTTTCGTTCTATTTGGGACTCTCCAGCTAAATGTATCTTCATTAAGGCAATATCGAGGCAATACGCACATTATATACTTATGCCAATAAGAGACTGATCAATTTCAGTCCTAAACATCAATAGGGAGATTCAAGTAAAACAATATCAAGTGAATTACCATCACATAGTTTTAATAATCTTCATCTTCTTATTACATTAAATTATTTTTTAGTCAAATTTCCCATACATTTATTTAGAAAACCTGTAATAACACAATCTTCATTTATATTGACGTCGATTCTCAAATGGAAAAAAGATAGAATTATAACCGTCACTTGTGGTATCACAGTCAGTTTTAAAATGATATCAAAATATTTTAAATCTAATTGAATTATTTAAAAGAATTAAATGAAATAAGTAGTCTGTAATTCAGTGACAACGCGGTTCAATAATTATTGGAAAGTTGCTAAACTCATTCAAAAGTGTAGAAGGCTTTCTTGAATCTAAATTCTTTTATTACATCCTTGTAACCATTTATCTACGAGATAATTATAAGAATCTCAATGTTATTTATATAATATTAAAATGAGTAGTCAAAAGTGTTACTAATGCATCATTTCATCGAAGACTAACTACCTTTGTTTCCGAATTATGTAAAGCATTTAAAAAATTGAAATAAAATCAATATCATGTGAGACGACCCGTGGTTTAATTCAGCTACTATGCCTGTTTCAAATATCTGATCAGAACAGCTAGATAACAGAAGACAGTGACATAGTGTAAGGAGTTGTGTTGGGGAAGGTCGCATAAATAAACTCATCAGTAAATAGACTAAAACCAATATGGTAATATAAGTGACAAGCTTTATTGAATAAACAACTCAATCAGTCACTATGATTCACCCGCTCTTCCAATCTTGAGATATCGTTTAGTTTGACAAATCCTGTCTGGTTAGCTCAGGGTATCATTGCAAGATCTAGTTTAAGTACTGACGTGACAGAAAGAGAGAGAGAGACAGAACAACTTTGAACCTTAATTAATAATGCATCACTTCATAAAAAAAGACAATATCGGAACAATTCAAAAAATATTTTAAAATAGACAAGAATAAGAATATGATTATCACCTTAAATTAACACAAGCTCATATTTCCAAAATTCTGATGATTGATTATACTACCATTCCTCATACCTTTTCAAAATAGGAGGATACGACTGTTTCTTTGCAAAAAAAATCATCATTCCTTAGTTGATAGTGGATTTCCCGCTTCATCAAATAATTATATATTAAAATTTAGGAAAGCTATATTCCAACAAAATAGTATCTCAGCAATTAATCAGGTGATTTTAAATCTAATTTTAGTTTTAGTTTATCTTATTCGAAACATTTTAATCATAACGACAATATAAAATGAATTACTTGGTAATTATTCCTATACAGCTTCTTGGTTTAGAACAAAAGGAGTTATTTATTCAGTACACATCATATTATACTATGCTAATCATTGGACTTATAATAAGAGTGAAAATAACTTAAGCAGTTCATGAAAACCCCTGAAAAGCTGAGCTTGAACATCTCTGAATATAGAGACAAACAGCAGAAGTCTTAAATACTATAGTCTTCTTGTTGTGTTGTTGTTGTACGATGTACGATTGCGATAGTGATACTCAAGCTTCGCATACATGAGTTCAACCGACCAAACGTAAGAAGGAAACTCATTGATTAATCAAATAGGGAATGTTTATTAGGTAATTATGCCACCAATAGTATATGTCTCATTTCTTAGAAATGCAAGCCATTTTTCTGAACAATCACGTCCAACTATCATTTGGCCGATTTATAATTGGATCAATGTATCACTTCTGATACCTGGAAATGGTTCTCTAAATTTTACTTTTAGAATGAATAAAAAACAGTTCATTGATTAACACAGAAAAGACTATACTCGAAAATACATCTATTTTGATCATTTTATCTTAATAGAAAAAATGACTCCTATTAAAATAAATCAATTTCATCTTTATCATAATTTTTATTGTTCTAAACAAGGTGGTTATAAAGGATATGGTTTAGGGATGCTTGTTGAAATATTATGCGGCATCATTGCAGATGCTGCATTTGGACCAAATATTCGTCGATGGTTGTCAACTGATAGACCGGCTAATCTGGTAAGTCCATACAGAAATGAAATTTCAAAGTTGCATTGTATGTTTTGTTTGTTGCTAACTACTGGTAGTTATTCGTACAAGGTTGTGAAGATTGTTCTATTTTATTTATATCACCAACTTATTTAAGTTAGACAATCACTGAAAACGTGGGAACACTGGATGGCCATTTCGTTCTAGCATTGAACTCCTAAGTAATACTCGTCCACGAATCCGCACTCCGGAATCGAACCCAAGAACTTCAGACTTGTAAGTGAGAGAGAGACCACTGATCCAGCACTTAACGGCATACATGCCTAACTTCAAGTGATCCACATTATCACGCAACCATCTTACTAGTAAGTATTATGCATGTGTGTAATTAACAACGGTAAGAATGTCTCTGTTTTCTCGACTAATTTACTATTCTTTATTCCAAATCAGAATGACATCGTATGTTAGTTCTGAAATTTAGTAACATGGCTCATTCTAATTCCAGTGACATTTATGAATCCATCAAATGATGGGTCTTGTATTATTGTCAGAGATTTTATGGTTATCAGTTAGGACATTGAGCTGTGAGAGGTACAAAAGTATTCGAAATATTGGCCCGCACATCTCTTCTAGTATGAATGCCAGAGGCATTTAATAGACGATTTCCATATCTGACAAAAGATTTTAATTATGAGGAATATGAATTTATATCTTGAACTTTATACTCACCCAGAACAGAAGAAACTAAATATTCAATCTCTTGTTGGTCTTAATATTGAATTGCGAATGAAAAGTAATGGTTATTCAGCCACTAGGAATTTTCAAAAATAAAACCATTTCATTTATTTGTTACCAACCATGTTATAGTGAGCCTTCATAAAACAGATGGGTAAATATTTCACTATTCTTAACTAGACGAACATCAGATTAGATTATTGAGGGCCAAAACTTTCTGAATCAGAAAAAAACACCTAACTTAAGTGTTTTGATACATTTTTTGTCAGTATGAGACTGTGTAGATTGTTAAATTTCATTAAGACTAACATTCAAAACCAGGAGGCACTGAACGACCGTTTCGTCTTAGCGCGGGAATCCTTAGCAGTGCGCATCCACAACCCCACACGCGAGGTTCAAATCTGGTGCGTGAAAACTTAACCTCTAAACCACTGACCCGTTATTCTACAATGTAATGTATAACAAATAGATAGTACATACATTACTCGGATCATCAAACTGCATCACGAGGCAAGCCCCAACTTGGAATCCTGAAGGGAAGTGGAAAAGAGGAAGGCCAAAGAACAAATTACGTCGGGAAATAGAAGCAGATATGAAAAGGATGAATAACAAGTGGAAAGAGCTGGAAAAGATTACCCAGGACAGGGTCGGATGGCGAGTGCTGGTGAGCGGCCTATGTTCCTTCACGAGGAGTAACAGGCGTAAGTAATTAAGTAATGTATAACTCCAAGCAATCCTTAACATTGTACGACCATCTCTTATCAAATTGAGTCATCCAAATTTAGAGAAGGCGATACTTTGATTAATCGATTATACTGAATTATATTTGAGCCACATTACAAACTGACTGAATTAGAACACATGAGGCAGTGAATACTAACCTAGTAACTTGATGGGTGAATATTTGCCAGAAGACTTAAAAATCTTGCTTCAGATCCTGTGTGTATTCATGGATGCGCAGCATTATTAGAGAGTCTTCGGTATATTTGAACTAAGTAATTTGTAACTGTTTTTGGTTTTTATTGATTTTCTAGAGAATGTCAATTTACGACGAAGGCTATATTTAAAGAGAACTAGTTTAAATAGGCAAACTGAACAACAAGCAATAAATTAACCGATTTCTTGATGATTCAGTGTAAGTTTGGATTAAGCATGAATCATTATATCATATAATGATGATTAAAGAATTAAGAGATAACATCTAATTGATATATAAATTCCTAGTAATAAGTGTATACTTCATGAAATATGAATTTATGCGTTTTAAACTAAAGTTGCATACCTCACTGATGAAGTTAAAGAGAGAACTACAGGTACATTTTTAAAAGAGAGAATTGAGTAAGTAATGTATTGAACTACATTAGACTGGATTTTTTTGTTCATATCTTCCTGCTTCACTTTAGTTTATATGGATTTTTCTCGAATTGGATTATTCCTCCTTGTCAACTGCTAGTATTCAACAATTTTAGAGAGAATCTTTATAGTTTATACATTTTATCAAATCTCTGAAAGTCTGCATATTTGGTAAATAAATCCAGAATTCTAAATTTACTTCATATATATTGGTTGTTTGAACCTCTTCATTGGCGTTTACGACTGCAACTGATCAGTCACTTTTCTTCATATGTACAACTTGTGCAGATTGACTTGATATTACCATTAAGTCACATTCATTATAAGCAAAGTCGGACGGTTGCTAGTACTGGAAGCCAGGATATGCATCACACCCTACTTGAGACTCGTCAGCTGGGTGTATCTGGATCTTAGAGTTGATGTTCACTTCGGGACTCGAACTCAGCACCGTTCACTTTGAACTTGGCTACTGAGTTCAGATAACCACTAGCTTGTTCATTGGGGTAAATTTTAACGCATATATATTAGTTATTTGAATCTTTCTAATTGATGTTAAGAGCTGTTTGAATTCATTTTAATGATTTTTTTCTTCAAAAATTATTAAATTTTATTTTCGGTTGGTTTTCAAACTTTTTTCTTCATAAAATAAGAAAGATATAATCTTAAAATTAGAAAATCATTTACGATTAAATCAAAGTATTCCTATCATTTTATCTTTAATAATGAATACTTTAGGGTCAATCATTCCTAGCCATCGATCCCAAAGCGTTTGCTCCAGGATTTGAACAACGATTATCAGAATATGTCAATATTATGCGTAATTTACCACCGGTAAGATTCACATATACATAAATGTAGCTTTAAACAATGTAAAATTATTTTAAAGTTTATGATAAACACATTTCATCTAATTCATAATCTATCCTGCTAAAAAACTGTAGATGCTTAATTATTTTATAGAAAACGTTTTTCAAATTTTATTAAGAACTGATGTCAATGGAAATGAATATTCGGATAAACATTTGATTGAAATATGATAAATGGAAATCAACATTCAATTCGCTTGGTATTATTTGCTTAAACCTTCCTATTGATGTTTAGTACTGCAATTGATCAGTCACTTTTTGGAATAGGTGCATACTGTCAGGATTTCCTCGATATTACCTTAATTCACAAGTATTTTAAGCAAAGATGGAGGGTGACTTGCAGTCAAATTTAGGATGCGCATTTCGTTCTATTTGAAACTCGGCGACTGAATGTACCTACATCCGTAGATTTGATGTTCACTTCGGGAGTCGAACTTAGTACTGTTCGCCTCAAATGCCTTCGCGCTATATACTTACCTAGTGAGTCTTGATAGCCACTTGCTTGTACAATGGGGTAAAGTTTAAGCACACTTGGTATTGTTTGTTTGAAACAACCCCATTGTACAAGCCAGTGGCTATCAGGACTCAGTAGGTAAGTATATAACGCGAAGGCGTTTGAGGCGAACAATACTAAGTTCGACTCCCGAAGTGAACATCAACTCTAGGGATGCAGGTCCATCTAGCTGACGAGTCCCGAATTGGACAAAACATGTGTCTTGGATTCTATTGTTAGCCACCATCCATCTTCGCTTAGAAATCAACATTGGTCGTAGTAAATGTTTTGTGAAATATGATAAAACGAATTAAATAAAGGGAAAAATAAATAAAATCATAATATATATAGACTCTAGTATCCTAAGCGTAAATATTGTTTTTTTGTTATTCATACATTTTATGACTGACATACTAGAACTGCTAGTAAATTTCTATAGACTTCATGAAGATTAGTACTGTTGAGTGTTTCGTATATGAATATTTATCTCTATGTGAAACGTAGGAAGGGGTTGGCAAAGCAACGGCGTCATTCATACAAGTGAAAAAACATATGGAACTCAAAACAACTGTCAGCAAACATCAAAGTCTGAATTTTCCATATGAACGTCAAGATAGTTTTACTGTACGGAGCTGAAAATTGGAGAACTACGACAATCATCGTTAAAAAGTGCAGGTATTTATAAACAGCCATCTACGCACAATACTCAATATTTATTAGACGGACATCGCCAGCAACAACTTACAATGGCAGAGAACAAACCAAGTTTCAGCTAAAGAATAAATTAGGAAAAGACGATGGAGATCGGTAGGATATACACTGCGGAATTTAAACTGCATCACGAACCAAGCCCTAACTTAGGATCCTGGAGGTAAAAGGAAAAGAGGAAGACCAAAGAACACATTGCTCAGAGAATTGGAGACAGACATCAAAGGCATGAATAGCGCTTGGAAATATCAGAAAAGGAGAGCTCAAGACAGAGTTGGTTAGTGAATTCTGATGGGCGGCCTATGCTCCAGTAAGGGTAACAGGCGTAAGTAAGTAATGTGCAACGTAGACAACCTTTGAGCAAATTAAAAGTTAGTTAGAGGTACCCGAAGCAAGATATAACATTATTCTGTGAAATTACTTGTAAGTGATCTGGTAGGTTTTCAAGTGATCCACACTTTTTGTTTAGTATTATCTATAATCTGTGGACGAACACTCAAATGGTATAACATGAAATCAGTTATTGTCCAGTGGTTCCATCCAATTTTTATTCCATTTTGTATACTGAACGTGGATATCATTTTACACTTTCCATATCCGAAAGTATTCATAGCTCAATTGAATACTTTTGACAATGTTTAGTTCTCTATTCTATGAATTGAAACATTAGATTTTCCATCAAGTAAAATCTGTGCTAATAAGAAACCTTTACTAGCAAGGATATAAATGTTATACCTGTTGAACAAGTTAGTACCTATATGTAAACATTGTAAGCTTATTGGATTATGCATTAGAATTTAAAATGAAAGATACTAGGTTGAGTTTTGTGCGTGAAAATCAACTATATGATGAATCTATCTGACGAGTCTCAAGTAAGATGAAATATCTCCTCTGGATTCTACTACCGATCGCAATCTATATATTCCATGGAAATTGTAATACCTCACTCTTGTTTGAGTTTTGACATTGTAATATAATTAGTCTTAAAATATTTAAATACCAACTAATATTCTATAACTGTAATTCAACTATTTCAATGATGAAATTTATTCCAATAATTTATTATAGAGTAGTTAATATGTGAACATGAACTTCTAATCAATTTTTTTTTAGGTGAAATACCATTCAATCTCGGTGACTATTTTTGTAATGAATCAGTTCATGTATTTCTTCATGTTTAAGGTCAAATTCAGATAAATATATGGATTAGTAAAACAAATAATACAGTACATGAGTACTATAAACAACCACATATTTATTCCATTGACTAAATTATTACTGAATTATTGGAAATACTTCAGAAATTAACTAATGTTGTTCGGCGAAACTCTAATTTATGGACGACCTTCGAACGAATCTTAGGTGAACTTAAGAAATAATAGCCAATCAGAAAGAAGTAAGTAGAGTAAAAATATATTATACAAAAGCAAAGAAATAAAGTGGATACACTTCTTATACATGGTTGACAATCTTGTCAAGGTTAGAAAGAGGTTCAGAGTTTCTAAAATCGTAATGCATGCAGTAGAAGAAATCATCCATATTAGTAGGCGTCTGGAGCCATGATAAGGTCGCGGAAACTCGTTCAGCCTCGACCACATAGTTTCAATATTGTTTATGTGCACTCCGGTTGTTGAGTACACAAAATGCAGCCAGTGTTGCTGGTGCTTTTATTATCCAGTTTGCAATAATTGTCATAATTTGCCTTAGTTAAGAATTATATATGGGGTTTTCATCACGAACTGACATCATCTATAATGCCAGAAATTTATTTAGCTAAATGGATGAAAGACGTTCGCGTTAAAATCCGAGAGCTGTTATCTTCTACCTAATTGATTCTTCCACAAATTATAGTCTCGCCATTTTATTTATTATAGCCGCTCAATTATCACATTTTGTATAAAATTCCCTATAAACCGATCGTACATTAGCATTAAGCACTGGAGTTGGCGCTGTAACCTTGAAATCTCTCAAACGCTTCCGATTGACTCGTTCATAAATTAGAGTCTCGCCGTATTGTTCATATCAAAAAGTTATCGACATTTTATGACTAAATGAGTTAGTGATTGATCTTAGAAAATAATCATTGGTTTCTTAGTTTGTTAGAAAAATAATTTGTAAGAACTAATATGGTGTGGGTTACTTATAAGTAGTTACTTATAAGTAGTATATAACGGTGGTCAGGCATAAGATGTATTTCAGAAGAAAATCGATAAGGAAAGAACGGAAAAGGAACTCAATTGGTATGAAAATGCACTTTTGTTCTTTTTCACTACACTATGTTGAACGGGTTTCGATTAGCCTTTGTTGAATTAAAATTATTTTAGTATAATTGTAAAATAAATTAATAAAAGATTTGCATATGTATATTGATATGTATTTTGCTAAACGTTTTAGCTTATTATTGTTTATTTACAAAAATACATTTTTAACTGGTAACATAATGTTAAGAGACATATTTTATAAGTATAAGGTTGTGTAGATTGTTGAGTTTCATTATGATTATGAACCGATCAATGTTAGACCACCATTCTCAGAGTTTTAGTGAGAAACCGTGATCAATGGAGTTAACCATGTGAGGTGAGGCAGTTGCCCATTGAAAACAATAAAAGATGTTCGCTAAATATTGTGGACTGATTGAAGATAGACATTAACACCGTTGAATAATAGGTCAGTGGTTTAGAGGTTAGGTGTTCACGCGCCAGATCGAATGTCCTGGGTTGAAACCTCGCGTGTGGGATCGTGGATATGCACCGCTAAGGATTCCAGTACTGATACGAAATGGCCGTCCAGTGCTTACGAGTTTCGAATGTTGGTCTAACATTGGTCGGTTTATAATGTCAATGAAACTTATTTTAGACAAGGTTTGAAGAATGTATAAAATTTGTTACCTAATTTGAAGTAAGTATTACCGAAAGGTGACAAATCATAAGTGTTTAAAGATACTATTTGATTGATGAAATTCAAAACCATTCAGATAGTTAAAGAGCATTAGATATTACTTATGATTTGAATTTACTATTCCCATTACATCTATCCGAATTTATTAAGTGCTTAAAATTGTGTTTACAATCCACGTTATTCACATTTCGAGGAGACCTTTAAAGACAGAAAGAAGGTATAGCAATGGGTTTACCAGTTTTTCCGACTGTAACGAATTTATTTATGCATCCCCTAGAAACCAGTGTGATCACAAAATGCGTATATCTACCCAAAGCCTGGTTACGGTATGTAGATGATATTTTTATTAGCATTAAACGGAATGGTTTGGAAGAATTGTTTGAAAATGTAAACATCATTTCGGAAAGTTTCAAGTTAACAAGGGAAATCGAGTCCAATGACCACGAACTAGTGTTTATCGATTGTTTGATTGAACGACGACATAATAATAAGTTGAAAATAAATGTATTCAGGAAATCAACACATTCTGAGAGATACTCAGATTCTGATTCAGCTCATGCGTTTGCACGAAAGTCACAGTGGTGAAAATTTTAATTAACAGGAGTATTAATCTCGTCACAGATAAAGAAGACCAACAGGTTGGATTGGATGGAGCTTTGTCTACACTTAGCGATAACAATTACCCCAAAAGGTTTTTAAAGAAGATTATTAGAAATGAAAAAAAACTGAATTAGAATATATACCAAAAGGTTGGAAGTCCACTGTGGTTGTCCCATACCGTAGTGAAAATCGGAAGAAATTAAGAAGATTCTAATAAACATGATATTAGAGTGTATTTCCAGGCTTGTGACACCATAATATCACCATTAGTGAAGGATAAGGATAGATTTCCAAAGGAAGAACAACGGAATATTTACTATAAGATCAACTGTCGTGATTGTAATGCGGCGAAACTTCAAGACAGTTGAATATGAGGTTGAAGTAACATAATCTTTGAAAAATGTTCCCGAATCCCCAGTTGATCTAAGAAAACTTCTGTTAGCTGAATAACTCGTTGGTGTTCAAAACAAAAGGCATTGGGTTCCAATACTGGAATAAATATCAACTCTGGTATGTGTTCTCAATCAGCTGAAGAATATTGAATTAGAAGAAAAATCCTTTCTAATTTTTACTATTACTAACCACAATCCATTTCTTCTACATAATGAAAAGAGCAAGAACAAACATTCCAGAAGAATAACATGAATTCATTCTTATTTCGTTGGTTCGTGTCAGCTGCTTACAACCTGTGATATTTAAACATCATAATTACATTATGGGTTTAAATGACTTACATGAGATGGTTTAGTTAGAAGTTATATGGAAAATATATTAGTATAGTGTAGCAAGGGTGTAAATAAATTTAATAGACTGAATATTGTAAATATATATTCCTTATGTCAAAGAATATGTAAAGGAACAAAATGCCTAAGAGACAACTTTTACTCACAAAAGTTTATTGATCAATATAAAAAGCGTAAAGAAAACAATACTGAAGTAATTACGGTCAACAAAAAAGAACATAACTATAAATCTTAACTTCAAAGGTGATGATGTTGCAAACACAATCAAAAGGAGACTGAATACTGCTCTAGCCAGAATTTATCCGGCGGCCAAAATTCTAATTCTGTATACAACAATATGTTGAACAATTCAACCGAAGGTTGATAAACATCCTTTTCATGTTACCACCAATTGTATTTATAAATTTACGTGTACCTGCATTGGCCGAATAGAAAGGTGGACATATCTTAGGATTTTTTGCACATGTTCCAGAAAGCCTCAGAACAAGAGAAAGAAAGACTCTAAACAGTGCAATCACCAAATATCTCCTTGATACAGAACATCAGATCGATACCCTACAATTATTCAAGGTGATTAGTAAGCAGTCAAACTCCAGTCTTCTGAAGCTGGCTGAAGCCGTTGCTATCAAGCGTCGAAAACCTGACTTATGTGTTCAAAAGGAGATGGTTATTAATCTTTCCTTGCCTTGGTGACTAATATTCCTTCTCTGTATCTTAATATGTATATTTTTCTTTTTCCCTAAACTCTTTCTCGTTTTTATTACATTAGTGAGTTTGATTCCAACCATCTTCTAAATTAACAAACTTATTTTATCAACTGAGCCCTACTCACTATATTCCTGTCAATGTTTACTGATTATGTAATCACTTGTTTCTGTCTATTTGAACCGTTTTCACAATCAATGTTGTATAATGTTCTTTCACATAAGGTATATATATTTACAATACTCAGTCCATACACACTTGCTATACTGTAGTAGTATGTCTTCAATATAACTTCCAGCTAAACCCTCTCATGTAAGTAATTTAAACCCACTATGTAATTATAATTTTGAATATCACAGATTGTAAGCAGCTGACGCGAACCAACGAAATAAGAATGAATTCATGTTATTCTGCTAGAATGTTTGTTCTTGCTCTTTTCAAAATGATAAAGGGAATTATGTGTATGAAATATTCTACATAAACTTGATTCATAATGACTATATGGAGGGAATCTACACTGAATGCACACATATCAACTAAGATTGATTATAACTATTGAAATGCTAAAAAACATTTTTTTTTAATTCATATGATTGTTTTGTTTCTATAAACTATTTAAAAATACCAGGTTGATAGTCAGAAACCTGTGGTAGTTCCTGGAGATTTTGAAAGAGAGCATATGGCAGAATGCGATGAGCTTGGTGGTATCCCATATCCTCCAGTATTGATTGAAAGTTTAGTAAGTTTGTCGAATATCAAAATAATAATTACTATTATCATTAATATTATTATTATTAATTCAGTGTATGATGTTTGTTGAGATGATGATTCCATTAAACGTGACTATTATTACTATTGGTAGGTCTAAATCGCTACAATTCTTTTAATTTGCATCACTGGCTGATCTTAGTCAAACGACCATTGAAAGTTATGAAGTAAAGGACTCCTCGGCAGTGTGTGTTGAGGACCTCCACTAGGAGTTGAACTCATGTCTCTCAAAAAAAGCTTGAAATTTAAACCGATAAGTAGGGATTCAGTAGCTTTCATTCCAAACTCAAATCAGTCTACAATACTGCTCAATTATCAGCTAATGACGGTGATCAGTAACTGTCTTACTCTCGACATGATTAAACTCTATGAGTCACAGATTCTTACTAGAGCTCTGTGAATTACAGTGAGAGGCTTTACATAATGGTTTCGAGTATTCATGTTTTTTTATTCAGTCTTTCAGAAGTCTAATTTGGTAGTCGTTATGAAAATCTTGACAGATTATAGCAGAAACTAATTGATTTCTTCCACTATTAATCTTTACATATTGGAATAATCCTGCTTTATCGTTTAGAAAAAAACTAAGATAGTTTAGCGAGAAAACATCCCTTCACTAGAATACATTAATTTCCAAAACAATCGTATCCTGATCTATTCCATTTTATTCGTTTGAAGGTAACTAATACATACTGGCACTTCAAGTGTGATTTTTATCGTAGATGACATTTCAAGTTATCAAATTTAACCAAAATTTTAATATACATTTCATTTATCAAGTGCAATTCAGCGTATTAAACTCCAAGTCATACTTTTGCTTTGAAGCTAGAAATACTCGAAGCTTGCTCATTTTAAAGTATGTTGGAAAGGGTTAGAACCTAGGAATTATTATTCAAGTTAAGTCGAATGTTTCAACTTCTGACATACTGATTTCGTTTCCAAACTATTCACAAAGAGGATAATTTGTTTTCCATGGTATTCTACATTGTGATTGTCAATTTATAAAATTAAGTAATTAGTAATCTTTAATAAATTTATAGGTATCCATATGTAATATAGCAAGTATTATGACAATGTAACGACATTATAAATCATACTTTAAGTAATATAAATAACAGAAAGGGTTTTGTGTATATTATAGTAATTTCAATGATTGAGATCATGAGTCATTTGAAGTTAGACCACCACTGAAAACGTGGAAGCACTGGACGGCCGTTTTGTCCTACTGCGGTCGTCGAGTGCTTCCAGGTTTTCCGTGGTGATCTAGCTTCAATTGACTCATGATCTCAATTATTGAAATGATATAAATAACTCGACTAATTTAAAACGAAAATTGATAGTCACTATCAAGTATAGTCAATATTCCTATTGTTATTGTCCTTTTTAGGAGTTGAAAATACTAAATAGAATAATGGTTCACTTATCAGACCGAAAATCACTACAAATGACCCAATTTTTTTATTGAAAGTCTAAACTACCACCAAACCCCCAAATGCCCTGGTGCGGCCGAGAGTGGGGAGAGTCCGTTCTCCCTCTCGAAATGCTCTCACATGGCCACGCGTATATAGCCTCTACCAGGGAGGTCCTACTCACTGCCTTCTCGTGGCAGGGGTGTTGTTTACGAAAATGAGAGGACGAAAAGCGAATGTCCGGCTCTTTAACCGGCTCCCAAATCAATGGTGTACATGGGCTCCAGTATCCTGCGGGAACAAATGGCGTATGAACCAATCGTTGGTCACCGGCTACCATGGGACTGCATCTCCTTACGATGCTCCACTGTTTTGTGGGTCAGATCTTCAGGTCGAAGGCTCGGGGTGTGGTCCCCTAAGAAAACCAGTATCACAGCCCTCACACATATCAAGTGAGATCTGTGTGGCGCATATGTATCTGGTGCCTCCTTGTACCAATATCTATGTGTTAAAATAAATAAATAAATGAATAAACCTGCCACCAAAACTTTGTATAGTAAGATATCGTAAAATACTATACAACAGAATTCTTTTTTTTCACTTTACAGATAGATATTCATTTTGACCATTATCTCTAATAGACTAATACTTCTAACCATTTGTATACTTTTATAGAATAATGTATCATTCAGTAGGTATTGCTCAAGTTAAACATTAGGGTTCTAAGTACAAGTGGTAAACAGACTGATGATACAATAACCTTTTATTGACTAAATTGATTAGAACATGTATTACCCTTTCATAGTCACTGCCTACCCCAACCCATAATGCTAACTAGCACAGTAGAAGGTAGAAAGAATACTAGTATCTACCAAACTAAGATATAGCATCAATCTGTGAAAAAATTATATATTAAACAGAGTCATATCGATAGATTTACAGACTTCTTAGTTGAAATACTACAGATGATTATAATTTATTATTTAAGACATTGATTAGTATGATCCGAAATCCATTATGTTAGTGAAATTGTCTTTATTCTTAATTTTCTGTTAAACCTTAAACTTGATGTGTTTTTTTTTCATACCTTCAATTGTTCCTTTCAAACTTATATATTTCATTCAATTCGATGTAATAATATCTAAAATAAAAGTCCCATACTAGAATGAAACGGCCGTCCAGTACTTCCAGGTTTTCCATGGTGATCTAGCTTCAATGGATTCATGATTTCAACCAGTGGAATTTCTAAAATCTCCACACAATCCCTTCTGATAATAAACAATTGTTTCTATATGATAAGTACAATTAAAAGATGATTGGTTAATTTATGACCTTTATTTTTAACCTTGTTGAAACTGTTTTATTGATTAATAAGTCATTTTACATCTGTCTTGGAACAAATTTATCATAAAGATTAATTCACTTGATATTGTTTTACTTGAATCTTCCCATTGATGTTTAGGACTAAAATTGATCAGTCTCTTATTGGCATATGTGCATACTGTACATATTGCCTCGATATTGCCTCAATGAAGATACATTTAGCTGAAGAGTCCCAAATAGAACGAAACACGCGTCCTGGATTCCACTGCTAGTCACGATTCATCTTTGCTTATCATAAAGATTGTTTTTGTTATCATGTTTTCGATATTGAAATTAACTATTTTAAAGTTTAAGTTCTTTTTTTGTTTTTGAAGTGCCTTTATTACATCAATGGTCTATCCAAACTTCCAGATTACTTCCATTTTCAAATGTTTTTTTAATGTTTTAATGATTGTTTCCATTTCAGACTTGTTTTTACCAACTAATTATGTCGGTTGATCGTATAATTTACTTAAGAATTCTTATTAAAAAGCCTATAATCGATCATAATGATATGTGATATGAAATCCGCTGGCAGACACTGTAATTAATGGTATCATCTTTTCCTTATCTATGTTTCCAAGACGCAAAATACAACTGCACAAAAACTCATGTAAAACTATTACAGTGTTATCCAAAAGCTTGTCAGGTTTATATTATATGTAATGCAATTCAGAAATATTGTAGAGATGGAACTGATTGTAAAGTTGTGGGACTAAAAATGGCATATATTTCATTGGTTTTAAGCCGTCCATTAATTGATTTTTAGATATTTGTCATTAAACTGTTATAATTTTTTAGTGAGATTCCTTTCTTTAATAAGACATATATATCAATGGATAGAAGTATTATCTGATTTAAATGGATCAGTCAGAATCAACGTAGAATCTGGGATATGCATGTGTCTGTCTGATAAGGAGAACCACAAATAAATACAGACTGCTGAAATACACCATATCTTTGTGTGTTTATTAATTTCTCCACTCTTGTAAAGCCAGTTATAAAGGGTGTACTATTCAACAAGTTCACCACCATATAGCGGAACACCGTATGTTTCGGTTAAGCAAAGGATAGTTAAGGGTGATTAAAAGTTCTGTTCTTTTTCATTTTATGAACATAGGACATTATATTGACTTGAATAAACCTTTGAAAAATATCCATCATATTCCACATGGTTTACGAGTTCATCTTTCACATAATATCAAAGCTATTGGGATCCATATTCATGAACCTAATCTTTGTACTAAAAAGAAGCTTGTATAACTACTCTCTTTACCTTAACCATCAATTTCTTGATCGGTTGTAGCTATACTCTTATTAATCCCATTCTTTCATAAGATATTCAAAAATATTGCTAATTTTCTTCAATTTGCATCCTAAGATATTTTCAATATCTGTTTCTTGATTTTTACATAACTATAGTAACATCGACCTTTTGTCAAAATATCTCGATACGTCCTGGGTTCAAATCCTTCAGGGTGGGATCGTGTATCTACACTGATGAGGAGTCCCACAATAGGACGAAGCGGCCGTCTAATGCTTTCAGGTTTTCCATGGCTGTCTAGCTTCATTTGACTCATGACCTCAACTAGTGAAATTACTTTGATCATTATTTTATTTCTCATTACGAATACTCAATTGACCATTTGATATTACTCTTTTTTAATCATTTTTAAATCATATAATTATTATACTAAACCAATACTGATTAGCGTTTTTTTAGCGAGTTAGTTTTCTATGGGATGGGGTAACTAACCCCATGCCCAACCCTCCTCCTTTATTCGGGCTTGGGACCGGCAGTAACTCAAGAAGAGCTACAGGCGGGGTTATGTTAAACCAATACTCAATTAGTATTGTTTTATTTCTTTGAATAAGATACATTTTAGCGTAAAACCATGCTGAAAAACTAATTGAAACGAAATTTCCTCTCTCTATTCATCTTTTTATTAAATGTCTAAATGGGAATTTTCAGAAAATCACTTTATAATAAATTATAATTATCGCATGATTCATGAACATAAAATCTAAATCTTTCGACATGGCTTACATTAACAATTATTGACTATGTATATAGACATTAGTCCAGCGTCTTGATTTGGGTGGCTATAAGTCTTTTCCAATTTACTCCTATTCCAGATTATAATCTAGGTTAATGTTTAAGCTTACATTATCTTTTCATCATGCAAAGTAATTTCAATTTAGTATTACAATGGGTTTTGTGGGTATTATAGTAATTTTAATAGTTGCGATCATGAGCTAATTGAAAAAAGACCACCATGAAAAACCTAAAAGCAAAGGACAGCCGTTCTGTCCTATTGTGGGACTCCTCATCAGTGCGCACCCACGATCCCGCCTCGCAAGATTCGAACCCAGGACCTATTGGTCTCGCGAATGGACAGTCAGTTACAACGTAGGACCAAGCACATACATGAGTCGGTCCAAGTTGCCACACCTCATTCGGACAGCAAAAATGAACACCGGATTCATAGAAGCAGTTAACTCAATGGTGTAATATATAAAGGAAAGATTTTATGTAAAGATATAGTACAGAAAGAAAGAATTAGTTGGTAGAAAGAAATATGTGAAATAATTTTAATCTCATAGTTTAAGGGAAGACAAAGTGTGTATACACCGACACCATTATGATCACCCACAGTCTCCAACCACTGGTTATGATAGTTACGCGAACTCCAACCAAATAGTCGGCATCTACCAACATGTCTAAGACTAAAAGGTAGTAACTTCAAAGACGAACGCTTAACCTCTAGATCACTGAGCTGACATCCAATTTCAATTTATCGAATGCATTAACATAATTCTTATGTTATTATATCTATTTCTATATCATCTTTGCTTATATTTATTCTTTTTATTTTTCTCTTTAAAGAATCGTTTAGCTGATCAATTAAAAGTTGATAAAATGAAGATTATCAAAATTTTATAAACATAAATTACATTTTATATTAATCAGTTGACAAACTATAGAAATTCAATTAATTTTCAATATAGAACTTTACCTTCAACAACAACAACAATAACAACAAAAACTGAATACGAATAATACTAATATACTTTATCGTATGAAACGCTCTATAGTGTTTGCTTTGTTTGCTTTGTTTGTTTGTTTAACTTATTCCTGTACAAAAAATAATTTAACAATTCAGGTGATAGATATTGTCTTATTTCAATGATTTCACTTGGATAGATTTAATTTATGATAATATTGGTACAATTTGTTTTTTTTTCTACATTGATCTGTGTTTCACAATATTTTCTTTTGTGATTATAGAATGTAGTAAAACAGACTTTGATTAGAAATCTGATGATATACTTATTATAACTTGTGACATGTGTACCCTGTTAATGTATAACGTAATGATACCGCTAATTAGGGAACAGTGAATTATTGATCGGATCAATCACGCATAAAACAAGTACAATTAGTCTAGAGTGCTTATCGGTCCTGCTTACCGCCTAGCCCAGCCAGTTATGTCCAGAACACCAATCTCAACCTCTGTAATATGAATCATTTATTTCAAACATACTGGGTTTATATACAAAACCAAATAGACCACATCGTAGCAATAAAATATGAAACAACATTTGTACAAGAATTAGCCAGATGTGGCTGTGAATGAGGGAGATAGGAATCAATAGACTGGGCATGACTCAAGAATGGTAAATCGTATAACAATAGCTCATAAGTCAAAATAAAGCTCATAATGAGAGGAAGACAAACATAAGTAGTTTAGTCATTTAACAAATATACATACGTATAGTATCAGACCAGAAATAGATTCCAACAGTTACCATTTATTATTCTCATCGGGATATAACAACACTAAGTAAGATAGAATCGAATAAATAATGATAACTGTGTATCTTCTAACGTATTGGTCTAAAAAACAAGCAAAGAAGAAGATGATGATAATGGGAAACAAAAGCGTACTTCATTTTTTTTTGTAGAAATGGAAGAACTTGATACTTCTAAATTAGCTGTTTAAAGAAGGAGAAGCGCTTCATGTTAAGTTATAGCTTGATCTGATAATGATATTCGACTAAACGCTTTCAACTATTTACTGTCCATTAAAAGTGACAACATCAACATTATTGTTGAATGCTTACAAAATCTATTAGCTTTAGAGAATTATTTACCAATACATAGCCTTTAGAAGTTAGATAATTGATTTATTGGCGATAGTTGTCGAATAACGTTATAATTATAAAAAAATAAAACTTGATTTATTGAGACAATGGATTGATATTTTGCAAATTAAGTATTGTACTATAATTTATAGATAATCTTTGAGCTGTACAAAGGTGATCTTGAGAAATTTCAACCATTTACCAAAGTTAGAAATTAATATGAGGAATTACGATTAAGAACTAACATTAGAAATTAGAGTCAAAGTTTACCATACAAACTAACATTAGCTATAACGCCAAAATCTTACTTAACAATATAGATGAATCAATTCCATTCAGGAAATGAAGAGCCTCTTTCTTGAATTTGATTGATAGATTATAACCCCATCCTAGAAGTAAGATATTTTAGTTAAATGATCCATATTTTTTCTAAGTTTATTTAGTGTGATTATTGGTAATAACAGTCAGAATCGGTTACAAAGATTAATTTGTATATTTATACACAAATAAATATGTAACACTGACTCTTCTACGCGTACCATTTAAATTCAGAGTTAGAACTTAAAAAAGGTTTTCAAAGCCTAGAATAGTCACCAGTTCGCAAATCATCTGAGATATATTTATTAATACAGATTAGAAAAATTAACTGAATTCACTAATGACTCCGAGTAAATACAGATGATCCAAACTCATGACTCGTGATCTCAACTAATAAAATTACTATAATATCCACAAAATCTATCTGATATTAATCAACATATGCCACTAGTGACGGTCTCCAAGGCGTATATCCTGGAGTTCTAGTAAGAAGCAGTGACTAGTCGTGTTCAATCGGGTTTGTTATGAGATAGTAAGTGACTGAAGACAATGGTGAACGGTGGCTCAATTTCGTGGATTGGTCCAAGTTAGACATTAACACCGTTGGATGCCGGCTCAGTGGTCCAGAGATCAATCGTTCGTACGTAAGACCGATAGGTCCTGGATTCGAATCTTACGAGGCGGGATCGTCGATACGCACTGATACAGAGACCCGTACTAGGACGAAACGGTCGTCTAGTGCTTTTGGGTTTTCTATGGTGGTCTAGCTTCAATCAACTCATGATCTCAACTATCAAAATAAACAGACTTAATTAAAAAATATAAATGTAAAACTTATCCCTCACCTCTATAGTAAATAATACATCCTACTTTAAATAGTTAACAATTCAAAACTGCTTGTAAGATTAGTAATATTATCACACAGTAGTAAACTAACAATATACGTAAGATTAATTCGTTCGGATTTTTTAAATGTTTATTAAACTAAGGATTTCATGTAATGGAAAACAAATAAGATTGTAACCAAAAGCACCTAGTTTCTCACTGGAATCCGAAAATATCAAACGGTAACATTTAGTCTATGAGTCCAACTCTTTGTATAATCATTTTTAAGCAATCTAAAATTACAATGAGAAACTTATAAAATGGCTAACATTGACTGGTTCAGTAACATAGTGAACTACCTAGTCGCATTAAAATTTGAGAAACAGAATCTGTTGAATTAATTGAAGTTAGACGTTAACACTCAGTGGTCTAGAGGTTAAGCGTCTGCACAAGATCGAAGGTAGTGGGCTCGAGTCCCACCTGGTCACTTCTGAGAAATCCCATACTAGGAATTTCAGGTTTTCAATTATGATCTAACACTGGTCGGTTCATGATCTCAAAAAAGAATCTGTTTCATTGGTTGACAGGATGAAATGTTGATGTCTAGTTGAACTAGTATCTGTCAATAGCCTACTAGTTAATATTATGTTATATATAGTGTCATTTAAGTAGAATCTTCGGAGTTATTATATTTTTGATTATCGTGTACCACAATTTTCAACAAGTGATCATTTGTAGTTTTCAATGTTATAATACGCAATAATCTGGTATTTCTAATGAGAACTAAATCTAATGTTATTTAAAGCGATTAGACCCTTTGACAAATTTCGATAAACATATAATCGAAACAGGCCATAAGATTGATCTTAACTCAGCTTTTGTGCTGTTATATAAAGGTGTAAAAGGGCGTATACTAAGGTTTATTGAAGCCTTAGCCATATGAAAATTCAAACCTCCTGTGTATTCATCAAAAAGTTTGTTCTCACCTTAAACCTAACTTGGTAATATTAGTTTATTATCCAGAGTGATTAGGTTTCAAATCGTGTTCATATTATTATTATTATTACTCTGATAATCTTCGTCTTCTTATTACATTATCGAAATCTAATGTTAGTTTTCTTTATGATAGTAACTGTCATTGTAATAGTTATTATCTGTCATTCATTTACTGTTAACTAAATAAATCACTTCATATCCAATCTTTTTTCGTGGGAGGGGGTGGTATTTTCCAAAAAAAAATAGTCACATACAAAATGTTTTGATATCTGTTGATCACAGTAGTCTGTAACCAAATATATGAAGGCCCAACAAGCTCTTTCATTCTACTTTAAAATATCTTGGTATTACATATACACAATCTTGATAAGTGATTAAACATACGACTTTCAATTCTGATAGTAAGCGCATGATCTTTAAGCCACTGTATCGTGATCCAACAGTCCATATTTCCAACTCTTTTCTAATATAAGCTTTTAATATTAATAAATAGTTCAAAAGTAATATAACTTTGTTATAAATAAAAAAAATCATATTTACTACAGTCTTCTCAATTCATTTTCATTACTGTTTATCAAAATATGTTAACATAAATCTTAGGTAAAACCTATTTTTCTTTAAATTACTGCAAAGAAAAAAAGTGAAAGTACTCAGACTTAACCATGGATACTTAAATCATGGTTCCATCATTAATACTTAGCAACAAGGTTGATTAATTAATCTAGACATATTTGTCATAGGATAAATTTAAAGTTAATAATTTAAAACACAATATATCATCTTTACTATAGAATGAAAATACATTATCTTCAAGAGAGTGAGAACAAAGATTGTTGCAGAATAATATGTTGTTCATTTTACTTCGTTAGGTTCTCATCAGCCCCTTTACAACCTAAATTATTTAAAATTCAACATTATCACAGATATTGACATACTTATACATAAGAGGGTGATTAGAGATGAATATATGTGTATCATGATGTAGCAAAGATTCTGATAGATTTCAATCAGGTCATAAGAATTTGGTCTCAAATAAATAAAGTTTGGGAGGGAAATTTCCAGAACATTGAAATACTGATTAGAACTCATAAAAATAGATTAATGGTAATAAAGAAGAGTATGAATTGAAATCAGTTAGTTACGTATGATGTAATTTAAACTTCAGAAAGAGTTGGAATAGTGACGCAATAAATAAATAAATGAGATGGGGGGGTTATTGTTACCAGGGTAAAGAAAGATTTATTACTATCTGTTTTTGTATACATTAACCTATACATGATATGAAGACAAAAAAAGGAGATGAATTCCTTTAATAGTATAAATACTCATGTTATTTTAATTCATTTGGATGATTATTCCATTCACTAATTCTAAGTTTTGCTCTATCAATTAATTGTTTACCTAATTCAATTTGTTTCTGTTTTATTTTATTTAAATAATCATTATTAGAATATTTTATAGATAGTTCAGTGAATAACTTTTGTATAATACTATCCAATTCTGTTTGATTTACTTGAATGATTGCATTTAATTCATTTAAATTTAATGTATCAATAGAAGTAAGATATTTGAATATTGAATTTAACTCGTTTTGTTTTAATTCATCTATTGTTGAATTAATTTGAATTTGTTTTTCTGAAGATATAGATTGTTCATTTTGTTGATCTTCTTGTTGTTGATCTTGTTGTTGTTGTTGAATTTCTTTCGGAATATTATCTGGTTTAAGAATTTTTAACCATTTAGTTACTTTTTCAGGAAATAATTCAGGATATTTTGAAATAAATTTAAGTGGAATAGCTTCAGATAATGGAGCTGGCCATATAGAATCTGTTGATGTTTCAAATGTTTCCAATAAAGTATCAAAATAAAGTGGACAAGGAATTTTTATCTATTATAGAAGAAATAAAATAAGAATAAGAATATATTGTATTTGAGATTAATAATGACAGGGATAGGGTATGTGGAAATATACATGTTAAAAAGATTATTTGATGAACATAATTCCCTTTATCATTTTGAAAAGAGCAAGAACAAACATTCTAGCAGAATAACATGAATTCATTCTTATTTCGTTGGTTCTCGTCAGCTGCTTACAATCTGTGATATTCAAAATTATAATTACATAATGGGTTCAAATTACTTACATGAGAGGGTTTAGTTGGAAGTTATATTGAAGACATACTACTACAGTATAGCAAGTGTGTATGGACTGAGTATTGCAAATATATATATGCCTTATGTGAAAGAACATTATACAACATTGATTGTGAAAACGGTTCAAATAGACAGAAACAAGTGATTACATAATGAGTAAACATTGACAGGAATATAGTGAGTAGGGCTCAGTTGATAAAATAAGTTTGTTAATTTAGAAGATGATTGGAATCAAACTCAATAATGTAATAAAAACGAGAAAGAGTTTAGAGAAAAAGAAAAATATACATATTAAGATACAGAGAAGGAATATTAGTCACCAAGGCAAGGAAAGATTAATAACCATCTCCTTTTGAACACATAAGTCAGGTTTTCGACGCCTGATAGCAACGGCTTCAGCCAACTTCAGAAGACTGGGGTTTGACTGCTTACTAATCACCTTGAATAATTGTAGGGTATCGATCTGATGTTCTGTATCAAGGAGATATTTGGTGATTGCACTGTTTAGAGTCTTTCTTTCTCTTGTTCTGAGGCTTTCTGGAACATGTGCAAAAAATCCTAAGATATGTCCACCTTTCTATTCGGCCAATGCAGGTACACGTAAATTTATAAATACAATTGGTGGTAACATGAAAAGGATGTTTATCAACCTTCGGTTGAATTGTTCAACATATTGTTGTATACAGAATTAGAATTTTGGCCGCCGGATAAATTCTGGCTAGAGCAGTATTCAGTCTCCTTTTGATTGTGTTCGCAACATCATCACCTTTCAAGTTAAGATTTATAGTTATGTTCTTTTTTGTTGACCGTAATTACTTCAGTATTGTTTTCTTTACGCTTTTTATATTGATCAATAAACTTTTGTGAGTAAAAGTTGTCTCTTAGGCATTTTGTTCCTTTACATATTCTTTTACATAAGGTATATGTATTTTCAATATGCAGCCTATTAAATTTATTTACACTTTTTCTATACTATACTAATATATCTTCCATATAACTTCTAACTAAATCCTCTCATGTAAGTCATTTAAAGCCATTATGTAATTATGATGTTTAAATATCACAGATTGTAAGCAGCTGAAGAGAACCAACGAAATAAGAATGAATTCATGTTATCCTGCTAGAATGTTTGTTCTTGCTCTCTTCAAAAAGATTATTGTTAAGACGGAATAAAAACAAGAAATTAAAATTGTAAGTATCATTATCAACATTTGATTTGATAATTTCGAATAAATTGAGCATTGGGTAGATTGTTATAAATTAATTAATATATTTTTGTAATATCCCAATCAGTAGAAAAATTAGATTTTCTGAAGTTTCGTGACTTAGTGTAAATCACTTTTTCAGAGAATAAATAACCAAATTAACATTAATTCAAGTTTAAATAGTAGAGTAGTTAAAACGTTCCATATAATGCTTAATCCTACTTCTCTCAATAGAAAAGAAGGCCTTACCAAACATTCTAATTGGACTATCTATCCTAACCATCTAGTCTGATCTTATTTACGATTCACACTGTTATCTTGCAAATTAAACTCAATCATTTCTCACCATAAAGGTCACATTTTTCATCCTTAACAGTGTACACATACATACACGCTAATTTACATACATGTCGCTTATGAATCACCTTGACCGAAATGACATGACTTTGATTTGTTCAGACCTGTTTTTTGATTAATCACGTGTTATTCGTATTGTTCCGTTGTACTATTTAAACTTGAACTAATATTAGTTTGCTTATATGTTCACTGAAGAAGTGGCTTACACTAAGTCACGAAACGTCAGAAAATCTAATTTTTCTACTCATTGGAATATTACAAATATATTTATTTGTAAGAGATTAAATTGTAATTCAGTATAGTAATTGTTCAATATAACATTCATGTTATTTCAGTATGATATACCGTATACATTTTGTGATAATTCTGTGTATAGTCAATTTAGTATTTCATCTATTTCCGTTATTTGTGATATTCACTGACTAATTATCAAATATTAATATTTGTTCTCGTGATTACAATATGAAGAAAATTACAACTTCTTAAAGTAGGTAATTTTACATTAACATGTTTTTGAGGAATAATGACTGTCTCCAAGATGTATTTCCTGGAGTTCTAGTAAGAAGCAGTGACTAGTCGTGTTCAACCGGGTTTGTTATGAGATAGTAAGTGACTGAAGACGACGGTGGACAGTGGCTCTATTTCGTGGATTGGTTGAAGTTAGACATCAACACAGTTGGGTGCCGGTTCAGTGGTCTAGAGGTTAAGCGGTCGCATCTAAGACCGATATATCCTGGATTCGAACCTCGAGAGGTGGGATCGTGGATGCGCACTAATGAGGGGTCCCATACTAGGACGAAACGGTCGTCCAACGCTTTTAGGTTTTCCATGGTAGTCTAACTTCAATTGACCCATGGATTCAACTATTAGATTACTATAATATCTACAAAACCCCTCTCTGAGTTTTAAGGAATGTTAAGTTAGTAGTCTTAATTTACTGGTAGTTCATAGGCAATAATCATGTTGAATAATTAAAATGAATATTGAGTATTTAGATAATCTTGATAGAAATATTAATTCCTGTTGATTTATTCAAGCAGTATATTGATCATCTGTTCCGTTGCCTCTACATCAACTTTGGTTCTTATTATCAGCTATATTTGTGAGTATAAGTATCATAACTATAGAAAATGAAAATTTGGAACACGAATACACTGTGATTTGTAAAATTCAAGAAGGAAACAAAAGTGATGGCACATGAAGATTTTCTTTAACTAAATACTCCTATTTGTATATAGAAATCACAAATAACCGGAATAGGCGAATAACAAAATCGGCTTTAAGCAAAATTATCACAAAATGTATCTGTCATATCATGCTGATTGAAATTTACACTAAATTCAGATAAAAAAATATCATACTGAATAAATATCACATTAAAATAAAAAAATTACTGTATACATGTCATACTACATGAAAACCAATGTTATTGAAGATAAAAATCATACGGAATTTAAACGATTTCCTGTTTTATTCCGTCCCAACATTCAGTAGTAAGTATATGAAATATACTTGTGAAAAGAGATTAAATTGGTTAGACCTTCAAAATTGATTGATCACTTTGTGGTGATCAATGTTATGTGTGTTAAGTCCTTCTTAATGCAGATCGAATGCCATCGACCAAGTTGCAATGTCGACACTAGTCTAGGTGATTTGACATTGCGTGCACTATGTTGAAATTAGATGGTGGTTGGAGATAGTCAACAGGAAACCCTGGACACTGGTTTCGTGCTACTTGATACTCGTCAGCAAGGTGTACCTGTAATCTTGACGGAACTGGTGCTCTCTGACGGATTCGAAACTGTGTCACCCAGCTTCACAGTCAGAGACGTTACCGCTGAGCTATCCGGGCCGCAACCGACCTCCTGCGGGACTGGGATAACAATCATAAAATCGTTAATTATTGATTTGAGGCGTATAGATAGTTCCTTATATATCGTTTAGGAAATTCAATATAATATAAATTGAAAGTTGCAAAATATCATGGTGAAGAACATGGTTTTATTCTTCTGTTAACTACAGTAATTTTTACTACCTACTGTTTGTTTACTCACTTTATATCGTATTATTTTGATTTTTTTAGCTGTCTTATTTTGTACTTTTAAGATTTAATGAAATCGATTCACTGACCCACTTTTGAATTACCTCCTTCGTCGTTATTTATATTCAGCTATTTTCATTATTTTACATATATTATGACATTGATATCAGTTTCATCATCGTAAAATAATAACTCGTACTGTACTATTAGTTTTCACTCTACATGTACACCATGATAACTAACGCGAAATTAACTTTTATTGTATATTTTTATTAAATTGTGGACTGTCTAAAACAATCTTGTACCAACCATAATGTCATGTAACACTGGAAATTTGGATAATTCTTTGTTGTGATGATTAGTACTAACTTGAGAATAACATTGGTTTCAGCCAAACAATCCTTTCTTTTATTTGTTACCGTGAATTATGATGTTACTTGCAGATTTCGTTGCTCAATAGTTATATCTACCATTTAAGTGGTAAATGAAAGAGACAAACATTTGAGTTGGCTGAGGGTTGGAATACTGCACAGGTGCCCAAAGTAAATTAGGTGGTTTTCTTAGAAGGCCACACCCGGAGGCTTTGACCTAAAGATCTAAACCACGAGGCAGTGGAGGAATGTAAGGAGATGCAGTCCCATCGGTAGCCAGTGACCAACAATAGGTTCATACGTCATTGGTCTCTTCAGCATCCTAGAGCTCATGTGCACCATTGGTTTAGAATCACGGTTTTCTAACTCTCCTAGGTGAATCAACCGTATCAACCAACACAGTTACAGCGCCGGACATTCGCTTTTCGTCCTCTCAATTTCGTAAACAACGGTAATGTCTCAAGAAAACAATGAGTAGGACTTCCCTGAAAACGGTCATATACGCGTGGTTATTTGAGAGCATATAGAGATAGGAGATCTCACTCTCCCCACCCTCGATCGTATCAGAGCATTCGAGGACATATCTTAACAGACATAGATTTTGCTAAAACATTTTTAAATAGTTTTATATACTCACAACTTTTACTCATTTCTTTCATAACTGAAATTATAAATGTTTACCACTGTAACTATGTCCCAAGAATACCGATTTCATAATTTATAAATCATATTTAAATCACATTTTTACATAATTAATAATAATAAATATCAGAAAGAGTTTTATGGACATTATAGTAATTTCAATAGTTGAGATCATGAGTCAAGTAAAGTTAGACTACCATAGAAAATCTAAACACACTGGACGGCCATTTCGTCCTATTGTGAAACTCCTCAGCAGTCCACATCTACGACCAAGTTTTCCATGGTTGTCTAGTTTCAATTGACACATAATCTCAACTATTGTATTAATAAATAACAAAATAATATATCTATATATAGATATATTACTTAAATACATTTTGAGTAACTTGTTCATATTAAATAAATATATAACTTACTAATTTTTGATTTGTTGCTGTATACGGTCCAAATACTTTCTCTAATAAATGATGTTTATTTAAAAAAATTTTTGAAAAATATTCTATTAATAATTTTGCCGCCATTGAATCAAGATTAAATAAATAACCAGTAAATTGTTTTTCAAATTTTATAAGATTAATTTCATCCATTTCATTATTATTATTATTATTATTATTATTATTAGTAGTAGTAGTAGTAGTAGTATTGTTCGTGTTGTACACAGGTGATAATTGAAATAATGATTTAAAGAAACGAATGGATCCTATTAAACAGGTAGTTTTATTATTTTCATTATTTTGATTAATATATAAATGTTTATTTGCTAATTGCCATAATTGTAAATGACGTAATAATATATAAGCCATTGTAAAACTAATGATAATACAAATTAATTTTTCTATATTATCATTATTATTATTAGTAGTAGTAGTAATCGATAATGATTGAAACATTGAATGATGAATTTTATTATCAATTAAATTAAATTTATTATTATTATAATTATAATATTCATTAATCCATTTAGTTATTGACCATTGAATACATTCAATAAAATAATTAATTAATGCACAATCCCATAATGATGTTTTAGGTTCCATTTTATTAAAATTATTATCAATTAAATTTATTGAATTTAATTGATTATTTTGTTGATTAAATAAATTCGATTTTATAAATGATGAATTAAATGGTAAATTTGGTCTTTGTAATAATAAATTTGATTTTTCTAAATAATTTTGTATTTCTAATTTAAGTTGTTTATGATTATTTAAATGATTTAAAAAATTTTCAGCGGTATCTAATGATAAAATTAAAAATAATTGATCATTTATTGATGAATGATTATCAATATCAATTTCATTGGGGGATCTTTTATGTTTTGATTTTGGAGTTTTCATTTATAAATTATGATCTATAATGTAAAATATATATATTATTAAGTTAATAAATATTTATTTAATATCAGATAGATTTTGTGGATATTATAGTAATTTCAATGGTTAAGATCATGAGTCAATTGAAGCTAGAGGTCATGGATGCGTATTGCTGAGAAGTTCCACAATAGGACGAAACGTCCATCCAGTGTTTCCAGGTTTTCCATGGTGATATAGCTTCAATTGACTCATGATCATAACCATTGAAATTACTATGATATCCACAAAATCCATCTGATATTAATCAACATTCGCTCATTAATGACTGGCTTCAAGAGCTATATCCTGGAGTTCTAGTGAGAAGTAGTGACCAGTAGAGTTCAACCAGATCTGTTGTGAGATAGTAGCTCAATGAAGACAATGGTAAATGCGTCGCCCAATTTCGTGGATTAGTTGAAGTTAGACATTAACACCGTTGGATGTCGGCCGGCTCAATGGTATAGTGGTCAAGTGCTCGAGCGCGAAACCATAATAAGACGAAACGGTCGTCCAGTGCTCCCAGGTTTTTCATGGTGGTCTAGCTTCAACTGACTCATGATCTTAGCTATTGAAATATTTATTTTTTTTAAGCTGTAACAAAATTACAATGATAATTAAAATAACCCATAGTATCATTGAATAAGAAAAAGAGAATTCAGTGAAGAAAATTTTCTTTTCGACGAAATCATTTACTTAAGCTGTACATTTGTATATATAGTTAAATGGAAGCTCTGAATTGTTTTCTTAAGCCGGCCTACTATTCTTGGATGTGTTAAGGATAAACTTTCGCTTTGGGCCACATCAATGTGTACTTATAAATTTACTTGCTCATGTGTGGCACGTTACATAAGCCGTACAATGCGATCACTTTTCAAAAGCATCTCAAAACACTATCCGGCTTGGCCTATAAAAGGAGGATGTATGACAATCACTAGTTCTATACAAGAGCATTTAATTAATTTTGAACACATCGCTCCAAAGGATTCTTCTTTTAAAGTGATCTACAGAGTCAAAGGAGTTGGATAGAAGGGGGTTCGAATCAACATTTTATGCACTGCTGAGGCATTGGCAATCCATAAACTCAAGCCTGAACTTTGCGTGCAGGAACGAATTGTTCAACCTCTCATCTTTTCTTGGCCCTAATTCCCTTAATGGGTATGTTTCTGTTTTTTTTCTGTTGTTTTTCTGCATTTTTATTTATTATCAAATTCTTTAAAATTACTGTTTTTGCATTTTAAACTCTAATCAGTTATTATTATTACTTTTGTGTTAGTCGCTTTTCTTCATATCTGTCAACTGGACTATTAACTGACCCATAAACTATTTTCTTCCTTACCCCTTGATTAGTACGTAACCTCATTTGTTATTCATTCTGGAATCCATTTTTGTGATGCAAATTTTTTCTACCCTCCTATAGAAATACATCTTCCATATAACTAAAATTACAATATTTGAATTTCGATTCAATCATAATGTAATATGTGCTACTTATATTGATATAAGTAGTATATAATGCAAATCAGGAATATAATGTCTAGCAGAAAAAGATTACGAAGATCAAGAAAGGAAGAATGGGAATAGAAAGTCATTAGTATGGAAATGTAAGAATAATGAAGTACGAGACAATTATTGAACATTTTGTATATGAAGTATTATAGTATGTTTTTTTTTCTATTTTACCAAGTAACTCTGTAATTTTGTGCTAAATATGTAGTTCGGTTGTCCTCACCTGTGTTTTCCTTCACCACAATAGCAAGACTATACTGATATTTTCTGTTAACAGATGTGTTAAATTTTATATTTAGTTGATGATAAAGGTAGGAATATTCTAATCCCTTGCACTATATTACAGACAAGTCATACAAACGAATCGGTCTCACTTTCATGAATACATTCTCAATTAAAAGGTATTTAGATGTTCACAGTTAATTAAAAATGTAAAAATGAAATTGTAAAGCTATATGCTTGACTTCATCGAGTTTTACATAATGACTATTGTTCATAAGAAACTTAATGTAAATAAAATCTTAAAGTTTAAAAGCTTCTCCAGTGTATGAGTTAGCTGTCCAACATTAATGTGGACGTTAATAATACTGAGTGTCATAAGAATTCCTTCAAAAGTGATATACAAATAATAATTCTGAGGATTTTCAACTTGCATGCAACAATCCTTATGGATTCCTCACTGCGTCTTGTTTTCCTGGTTAAAAATTCTCTGTATTATTCATTTATCTGTTCTCACCTTGATCTACCATAATCGAGTACCTAAAACCCTCTCTCTCAGGGAGATTTAAGACGAAGTTCGAGATATAAACTATTGATGTTTTAATCCAAAAGAGGAGTATTGGCCAACATATCATGTTCCATATAAATCGTTTGACAAGCATCCCGAAAACATAAACTATTGGGATAGGCCGTAAAAGGAAAGTGTCAGATGATACAATTTCAAAAAAATTACTCTCATTTTCATTGGGGATAATCCCATATTTTTAAATAAATGCAAGAACTTAATAATCTAATCTAATCTGTCTGAAGACGTTGCTCAAAATACTCTTCGGGGACTTAACGGCAATGCCTCCAGTTTGGATTACGTTCTCACTAAGCAGGTGGTATTTATTCCAGACCGGTTATCTTATACCCAAACAGATGTATAGACTATGTTATAATACCGTCTAACATTTATCCAGCAGAACCTCTAGTTGAAGTAATTTCGTAAGGAAATTATCATGATATATGCTAAGATGGTAGCATCACAACACAAAAAATCCAAACGTTGATCTAAAAACCCTAAAGCTAAACCTTTTTGAGTCATTGGTACTTATGCATTAGTTTGATCAATATAGACTATACACTTAGAAGTACTGTTAGCTACTATATGTCTCCAAAGTGTACTGTCACATGGTCCAGACCTTTGGATTTTGGATAAAGATGTGTTTATGGATTTCGTCCTCAAAAAGTAATAAACAATACTAGAAACATGATGTCAAAAAACAACGAGCTGAGGTAAAGACATAGAAATTCATAATCTCCAACCCATTGAACGATGGATGCGTTTGTTCTAGGATGGTGTGATTGCTATGACCACCAGGTATCACGTTACAAAGCAGTCGTTTGTTAAGTCGCAATATAGATTTTAAAAGTGAAAAATAAAGAAGCAGAGAAGACATAAAAGCTAAAGCGAACATATACTAATTTTATTGATTAGGTACTTAGGAAAGTAAATGCGCAAAGAAATACACAAAAACTGCATGTGGATGGAGATGACAAGTTACTAGGTGGTCTGTGGGGTTACTAATAATGCAAATAAATAAGAATAGTGGTGGGTAAAATTTGAAATATAATTTAGGATTGCTAGTAAGTGAGCAGAGTATTTTCCTATGAGTGCGTATGAGTTGATGGACGGTAAATCATAGGTATGTCGAATTTCCTCATTTATTTGTTTACTTGGAGCCGTAAGAGGAAAGTTCGGGCAAGCAAAATACGTAATTAGAAAACGTACAACCTCGAATACATGCCATCTGCTTTATGTATTGAAACAACAGACAGGAAGAGAAAAGAAACCAACCCATTTATACAGATTCGTTACAAAGATTTTGGACATACAATTCATCCTGAGTTGCTTCATCAGGCACAATACTGAGTTTAAAATTAGAGTCTTTTTGAGTCAACATGAAGTAGTTACTATTTTGTGCGCTTATCAAGTCGTTTTCATTTTCCTATGATCTAGTACTAAATCACTCATGAGAGTGCAGCCTAAGGTGTTGGAGTCGTCCGCCATACAGCCTATCATTTTGTCGCATAGTAAAATTTCCAGTGCACTTCCATAATTTTTTAAAAAACATTCGTGGTTTTTTTAAAAAGATGTGGTGGGAAATAGTGTGGCAGATGTAGGTCTTAATTAATGCCAGGAATTAAAAGTCACCGTACCTAGTTGTATTTAGATGGAATTAATAAACGACTTGTATAAAGTCTTACATTTCGAACAATTTCCTTATCTTCATCAAAGTTCCTTACACAAACGATAAATCGAGGCGTTTTAAACGGTACTTCCGCAATCTCGTTGTCATGGTTGGGAATTCAAGGGACAATATACAGCATTGTTGTGACAATGTATCAGCCTACGACTAGCCAGATGTTCTTTTGTGTGCAAAATAAGAATAGACCATGTAAAATATTCAATTTTTTGTCAGTTGCTTGTAAAAACTGATTAACTTTTTTGAACCCACTTCTTTTTCTGCATTGTACTGAGTATTAGCTAATGAGTTTGAAATATAGGGAGGAAAAGAACAAGGGAAAAGGCTATCCGGTTATTCATCCAATGCACAAAGTTCGCCTGTAATTATTAGGAGAAGCAGCAAAAAACACCACTCATGCAAACATTAGGTTATAACGATATGATAATCGCAACTGGAAGTAGATAATATCGGTTTTTAAATCTGCTAAAGACTTAATCATTTAGTTTGTTTGTGTCCATTTCTCAGTTTTAACTTATGAAAGACATTAGTTAACCCATTTTATCAGTAAATTTGTTTTATGAAGCTGACAAACGGCTTCACATATTTATGGAAGCCCAGTATTGTATGTTTAGCCACTCATTTCCTGCATCTTGTGAATAAACGCTGGGGGTAATGAAGTTACTTATGACGATATTGTGTAGGTCAGGTTACGTTTCATCACCGTATCTGGTGATAAAAACGTTTGAAGGTCTCTGGAAGCTTCTATAGTACTCAAGGTAACCTCAGAGCTCATATAATTACCTAATTTTCTAGCAGCTTAAAACTGACTTCATTTGCTTCTTCATGGTTTATTCTGTATATTTCTGTTTTCTGCTTTATTGTGTTTACCATCTACTTTTATGACACTTCACAAAACTCTTTTATTACTTCTCAGTAACATATTTTGACAGCACAAAACCACACAAATATGTCACCGATTTGTGATTTAATCAAATATATTTAGAAATTATTGTTGTCCGATTCTGCCGTATTTGGTGCATATCTAGAATATGCCTCATTCTATTGATTTAGAATTAGGACTTCTTCAGGTTTTATGATTTGGATCTTACTGCCTCATTACATATTCTAAATTTAATTCGCTAACTGTAAACAATTAAAATGTTACATGATAGCCGATGGTTTCAGCAGCTCTGTGGAGCAAATCTTCCGCACAGATTAGATTCGGATTTGTACCCTGACGTCAAAATGCCAAATAGATGGATTGGTCCTTTTCTTTCATTCATTTGTGTGTCACTAACCCTTTTCGAACAAGATGGTTGAAAATACAGACAGCATTTCGCCTCAAGTGTTTATCGCTCTTTGAGAAAAATCTTTTCTCATAAAAATATTCGCCGTCCTTTGAGTCGAACTTGTAGGGCTTGTCCTTTACATTTTTCGGACCTATTTGAAAAGAGCATAAGAGATAACTGACGCTAAAGGTTATTTCTCTGCACAATATGCATCATGGATGATTGAAATGTTCCAAGCGCATGAGAGCATAATAAAGGCTTTTACCCAACAGGCTCCTGAGAAGTTACATACACCTACAACCCCGACAGTGAATTCCGGTATATGACTACTCGTAAGAAGTGAAGGGTGTGTCTACGGTCCACTCCGCTCTTTTATTTCTATAGTTTCTGGGTGGTACTTCTAGTGTATGTGTTATAGCTGAGCCTACGTAGGTATCCTAGAGCGTCCCAAGGAATGCCTAACAGTCTACAAGTCACCAAATGGTCATAGTGCATATAAATTCAGTGATTTCAGCTGCATTCTGTAAGGTTTAAATTTGAGTCCTCGAAATGATTTTCCGGATCACATTTTGATACATTCAGAAGTATTCTAGTTCTTTTTGGGTGAAAGAGAAGACACCATCTTTATTATTATTCATGAACAACTAAGTCATACATAATTGTTATGCGAAAACCATTTGGGGTTGGGAGATCTGGATCCCTAGAAAACACTTTATAAACGTCTCATTCTTGTTATTTTATTTTGCAAATTTGAATTTCTTAATTTTGCTCATGAGCGCCTATTTTACCTTTGGATTGTACTTCCTACATAGAAGGACCATAAGTGTTATTGGTTCGCTTACTCTTTTGATACGCTATTTTGTGACGTCTCACAAGGACATTTTTATACCGAATATATACGCCGGAGTTGTGTGCTTGTTGTTTGCGCTTCTGACTGCTTGGGAAATATATCAACTTTAATGTATCAACTTGCGCAACTTGATAGTGTTCCCTAGATTACAAGCTTGCCAGGCTTCTAGTAAGCACAACGTAGGACAAATTAACATGTCCTATATATGTGTTTTCGATTATCTATCACAAGGATGTTGAAAAAGAGGAAAAAATGACAGGAAACAGAACAGGCAATATCCATAAGTGGTGACGTTGAGTCATTCGTGATAGAGTGATTAGGGTGCGATTGTAGAATCGTGGTCTAGATTCGTTATAAGTATTGCTATAATGACAGACCTAATCCTAAAATTGTGGATTTGTCATGAAGTGACTACCTAATTTATGAGATCTTACGTGGCAGTCCCATCTTGTCTACCCTGACTCGTCGTATCGTGAAAATCACATTTGGGCTAAAGAGAGAACAGTGTATTTAATGTGAGTAGAGACACGTTATACAGAATGACCACATCTACGAAGATGAGCAACGCCGTCCTGTCGAATGAATGTCCCTGCGATCACCATTGTCGGCTTTCCTTCTGTGTTAAGTGTTGAATATCTACTTTACCAGTTATCTAATGTTCAGCTCCGAGGATTGTACGGTTAGGATTAATATAACTACATGATTACTGAGACTTATCTCCTGTAATCAAGTCGATTTTCACGCGAGCGGGTTTTGATGGGCTAAAGAACATTGGCTTAAATTATGGTAACAAATGGATGAGGAAATTTATAGATGGAGGAGGTCCAATAGAACCGAAAGTTTAGGATTAAGTAGATCTCTAGAATGTGGTGAGAAAAACACAACGGTACGAATATAAGTTATTGCATATACTATACATGGAATTGAAAATAAGTCATTGATTTAGTAAGATATAGAAATAGAGTAAGAGTCTAAGTAGTAATAGTTCAAAATGATTCCATGAAGATTTTGATTGAAAGTAGGAAAGGATCATCAAATGTCAAGCTATAGAAATCATATTTACGTGTCGAAATTAAGTTTGAAAAGTTTATTTGTTTCAATGATTGCTATACGATGTTTTGCTTTCTTAATCTGGAACTTTAGGAGGCTAAAAGCAAAACATCTTGAGTGTCTATGGAAACCTATCAAGACAATGAAAATAATAAGTATGAAGATATTGCTTCCTTGATTTTTTAACCCAACAATATACAGAGCAGAGCGTGCTTTGATCTAGATTATGACCTTGACACGATAGTTTGATGAGTCTCACATTTAGGCTGGAAATATGTGAGTCTGAATCAGAACTAACGGCCCTGAGGAGGGGTACGAAAAACTACTGTATCAACTGATTGGCAAGAGAGACAGAGAGAAGATGTAGAATTATGGCCTAGTTCGGTATTGCTACATTTAACTTGTGTTACTCTAATAACAGACCAAATCTTAAATTTGTGGATTTCTTATGACGCGAATACCTAATTTGTGAGATCTCACGTGAAGGTCAAATAATTGTCAACACTTACTCATCCTGTCGTTACGTTCAACAATATGACGTCCAACATTTCTTAACAACAAATTAGAGCCGAAAAAGGATTAATATATTTGATACAAAAGGCAAGGAATGACCGCGCTTGCTTGACCGATTCATGCTTTTTTGATTCCTTGTTGCCGTCCTAACCATTGTCGAACTTTTTTAAGTGTTACATGTTGAATGTAAATCTTTTCAATATTTATCTGCACGGCTTCAAATGTCTTGTGGGTATTGTTAAATCTATCAAAGCGTCTAGTTCACCTGATTGAGGTACGCGCGAAACCGAAGTTCCAAAACAACGGTTTGTCTACAATAGCTGTTCTTTATTGAATAATACACAAAATTTAGTTACATACCTCAACTTGTGAGGTGTCTGGAGCATTTAAACGCGTCCTTCAAGTATAAAGATAAAAAGGGTTCCTGTAACAGTAACATAAAGAATAATTATAACATACGATAGTACAAAGGACAGCTGATAGGTGTGTCTAAATTTGATAACAGTTTATGAACAACCGAAACCCGAACCAAGAGCAAAACAATATGGAAACTGTTGCGTTTAAACAAATGCACGAGACTGTGGATAAACTCTACAGTGATTAAGGTACAGTAATTATAATGATAAATACAATGATAAGTACAGTAAACGTCATAAATATATGTGAACAATTCAGAATAATACACTACAACTTGCGTTACAACAAGGGTGTAAAATTGTTGGGAATACAACTGCTTATTGAATGTAAATAAGTAGTACAAAACAATATACAAAAGAGTGGAAAGGAAACGAGTAGGAACAATGTAAGCAAACCTAACATTAACACCCAAAGACGGCATGTCTTTCCTTACTTTCGCTGACTAGATATTTAACGTAAAAACATTCAGAGGTGATAATAGTACGCTTTGCTCTAGCCAAAATCACTCTGAAAAGTCTCTCTATCGTCTACTGTTCGGTCGTCTGCACCTTCTAATAAACAGATTTTACGTATGTCTTTAATAATTGTACTTTTGACGTTCTGATCTTCGCTTGTCTCACTAGACTGTCTTCTCCTGGTTCAGTACTTACAATTAGACCTTTAGGCCACTTATTTCGTGCATAAGTATCACCAATAATCAAGACTAGATCGCCAACTTGTAAATCTCGTCTTCTTTGTGTCCATTTTGTTCGCGTCTGTAAGAGTGGTAAATACTCTTTTATCCACCGACGCCAAAATGTAGTCGCCAACAGTTGTTCTTGTCGCCATTGTCGGGAATAACGCTCACGTAGATTTATTTCAATGTGATGAAGTCAAGGTTTCCTTACCAAAAGTAAATTATTGGGTGATAATTCCTTGAGTTATTCTGGGTCGTCGTAAACTGGAACTAAAGATCTATCATTAAGTGTTCTTACTACTTCAATCAAAT